CAAAGAAAGTGCTGCAGCTCCACGAGAGGCTTAGCAAGAGGGAGAGCGCGCTGCTGGTGCAACTGCAAACCGAGAAGATCGGGCTCAACGACTTCCTGTTCAACCGACACGTTCCAGACATCACTAGCCCTCGCTGCAGCTGCGGGGAGAGGCGACAGACCGTCGCTCACATTTTCCTCCACTGTAGCAAGTACAAGGACCTCCGGAATCGCATCTTCGCCAACCTGTCCGGACGGAACAGCCTCAGGACCATCTTGAGCACGCCGCAGCTAGCCACCAAAGCCATCGAGTATATGGAGCAGACGCAGATCCTTGGGCATGTGCGGATCAGAGACACGTAGACGACGCCGAGCGTTAGGGGAGACTGCAGGTACAGTGGACGCGACAGACGAGGCAGCGCGCCTCTACGAGCCTAATATCACAGCATACAGTTAGGAGGACCACTATCGAGATGAGCTGCCCGGCAAATTGTAGATAGTGGTTGATGAAAAGCGGCAGGTTTTTGGAGACAGCTGGTCCTTCTCGAGGGATGAAGTGGGGCGGCGCGGATCAACATCTGCGCCGCGTCCGCTGTCTGCCACGATCTGTCTTTCTGGGCATAGCTGTGCAGTACGCCGCTGAAACCGAGTAGGACTTAATAAATAAATAAATGAATATATAAAACCATCTCTGGACAGAGGGTTTCTCGCTACAGTGGTGGGGACATTAGGGTAATGTTGCAAAGCAATAATAGCCATAGATCTGAACCACCCAAGACCTACCACGTCGTGCTGTCGTCATTGATCGCCAACATGGCTCAGAACATGCCTCTATTTGTGCAGCAGTTGCGCTTTCTCTTCTTCATCTTCTGTCCATTTCCTCCTCTATACAATTCATACTACTCTGCGCGTGCGGAAGTCCAGCAGACATCGACTCCAAGTTCGCCGACTTGAGCCCGTAACACAGCGTTCAAGAATCCATATATACCATTCCTAAGCATCCGCAACCATGAAGCACCTTCAATTCACCCCCGGGTCCGGAGTCAAGCCCTTAAAAGACAGCCGATCCGTCTCCGCCGCCCTCCCAGAAGCCCAAGGAACAAGAATCCACCCAGCGAACGCACCAGACGCCTCAACAAACGCCTCCCTCTTCTTCGTCGGCACCGCAACCACGATCCTAGAATGGGAAGGCCTGCGCATTCTCACTGACCCCAACTTTCTCCACGCAGGCGAACATGTGCACCTCGGCCCCGGCGTCAGCGCAACCCGGCGCACCAATCCCGCCATCGACATCGATGAGCTGCCGCACATCGATGCCATACTGCTTTCACATTATCATGAAGACCACTTCGACCGGCTCGTCGAAGACAAGCTGTCCCGTGATATTCCGATCATCACCACGCCCCACGCCCACAGCTGTCTCACGAACAAAGGCGCGGACTCGTTTACCAATGTGCATGCGCTCGACTTCTGGGACAGCCTGATTGTCGACGTGCACCCCAAGACTGTCACGATAAGTACAACACCGAGTCTGAAAATAACCGGCATGCCGGGAAAACACGTTCCCCCGGGTCCTCTCAACGCGGCCAACGAGATCCTCGGCGCCGTACCCCCGACAAACGGATGGATGATCGAGCTCGGCTATTCATCTCCACCGTCATCAAGCGTGGATAAGTTCGCAAGCGGGTACATGGTGTACATCACCGGGGACACCCTTCTCGTCGACGAGCTTAAGGAAATACCACAGCGCTATAAAGGGATGGATATCGATCTCATGCTCATTCATTTGGGCGGGACTACGATTCCGGGACCCAGTATGCCGTTGTTGATGGTTACTATGGATGCGAAGCAGGGCGTCGAGTTAATGCGCCTCATCAACCCGGATGTGACGATTCCGATTCATTATGATGATTATGATCTTTTCATGAGCCCGCTGGATGACTTCAAGAAGGAGGTTGAGGAGGCGGGGTTGGGTGCGAAGGTGGTGTATTTGGACCGGAAGGATCAGTATAAGTTTTTGGTTAAGCAGGAGGGGGAGAAAAAGGGGATTAAGGATTTGCCAAGTGTAGGCTGAAAAGATAGCTGGAAATGAACACAGTCTTTGACGGCGCAAAAGTACTCTGGCGTACAAAATATGCGCAACTCTCCAAGCAATCTTATGTGTCATCATCATCAATCGGGAAGTACTGTTTGTTTGTTTGATTCCTACTCGATTTCAGCCGCGTTCTACGCAGCTATGCCCAGATGCAAAGAGTTGGCGGACAACCGACGCTTTGCCGAAAAGATATTGGCATCGCCCCATGTCAGATTGTGATGGTTCTCAAAGAAGGGAATAAAACTGTGATAAATAGCTGTGATTATCGTGGATGGATTGAATTGATTCTGATTGATTTCTTCTTGTTCGTCCCCGTTAGAGGCGCGCCTGCGCGCCTCTTTAGAGTCGTCTAGCTATTGCTTTTTTGTGTGAGATAGAGCCTCTAGTCTCAGCCTCGGCTAGGTTATTGTAACGGCGCAGGCAAGACTACTCGGATTAGTATCGGCGGTAGTGTCACTCAGAGGCATATGGGAGTGCGTGGGACATTAAACAAGCCTTGATTCGAATAGACACCTATAGGCCTTGTATGAAAGGATATCAAAAGTCTATAACGTGATGGATAAGCGAGTCGCGCAGGCAAGCGAGTCGCGCACCCACCAAACCTACGCACCTCTATAAGCGTATAGCGCCACCACAATGTAACTATCTTGATATATATTAATATAATATATTAAGTAGTACCTATAGTATCTTTCTTGCATGTACGCGCATTATGGCTAGTCTCTCTACACCTACTACAGCGCGCAAGAGCCTGGCGACTAGCACCTGATCGCTCTCCTCCTTGACGCTCTTCATAAGCAATCTGCTAATCAGCCTCACGCTAAGCAAGTAGATCCTCTCCAGCTCCCTTTATTAGCACTCCTTGCTTCTGTATTCGCTTTTTTTACGCTGCCTACGCTTCGTTACTGCTGCATTAGCTCTCTCAAGGCTAGTAATCCGATCGCGCATTAGCTCAGCCGAGAGTATCATTACCTCTGCCCCCTTCTTAAGCTAGTCAATTGCTGCAATAATTAAAGCTGGCGATAAGCCTTAGTGCCGCTAAACGCGATCGCGTATTAACGTCAATTAAGCTTCAAGCTCGCGTGTATTGCTAGGCGTACGAGCCTACCATAGAGCCTCTAGAACAGCTAGTAGAGTAGGCGTACGGAGCTTTATATCAAGCTTTGATAGAACAGCGTCTAGTTAGAGAGGAATAAGGCCTAAGCCATAGAAGGCAAAGCAGATATTAGCTAGCGTAAAGGATCGATCGAACGCTACCTTAAACGCTAGCAGAAACTCGAGCTTAGTAATATAGTTAATATAACTAGTAGCGGATTAGACTCTCTACCTCCCAGCTGTACGCACGCTTTAATGGCGAGAAACAGCTAACGTTAAGAGGCTGAAGTAGGTAAGATAAGTGCGGCGGCATATAGAGAGTATAGATATTATTCTTCTTACAGAACTCTTAGAACTTAAGAGAATAGTAGCTCTTATAGCCGTTAAGAATAAGTGTAACGATGTTACAACTTCGCCATGTATCGGACCAATCCCAGAGCCGGATCGGAGGTAGTACTCGCCGCCCTCTTCATCAACCACTCGTTGTGAGGTCGGATCCGATTCGGATCCGACTAAGATAAGTATATAAGGAGACACTCCCTGTAGCTAGCTCTGTAGACTTTTGATATCCTTTCGTACAAGGCCTATAGGTGTCTATTCGAATCAAGGCTCGTTTGATGTCCCACGCACTCCCATATGCCTCTGAGTGACACTACCGCCGATACTGATCCGAGTAGTCTTGCCTGCGCCGTTACAATTATGGTCCGTAAACCCGCTAAGATATCTAGGATTAAGAATAGAAATTAGTATTATTACGTAGGCGGCTAGTCTCTAGATAGATACTAAGAGCAGCGAGAAAGTGGATAAGTGGGCTGCTAAATGGTAGATAATGTACTTTCTAGTAGATAAGCGCTTCAGATAGACGCCGTATGTACGTACGCTGATCAGCTATTCTAGGGCTGCTGCTATCGCTACTATTAGATAATAGAGATAGCCATAGCTAGGTAGCTGCTTCTTTCTGTGTGCTATGCCACGGGAATAGCTTTGCGACACTAGATAGCTTAGTTAGTAGTAAGGGCTTCTAGTATGGCTGCGGCTGCTGCTGCTGCTACTACTACTTCTACTCTTGGACGATAAAGTAGCGCACATAGCGCCTCTCTCGGAAAAAGGTCTGTACCTTAATAGGCCTCTATAGCTAGGCTGCGTGCTTAGCGTACGAGATAGCTAAGGTAGTTAACTAGCGGGTAAGGTAGATACTATACTACTAGTTTACATGCTTCTATATGTACTTGCGGCTTATAATAATAAAGCTACATATTATATTATAGCAGATTAGTGCATCTTCTAGCGCGCTAAGATCTAGTAATGGTGGTGTGTAGGGGGTAGGTAGAGGCACTTAGTCTAGCGATAGAAGAGAGAGGTTACTATACGCGCTTAGTAGCGCTCTTCTCTCTACTATTGATAGCTTATGTTGGCGCTTAAGATGCTCGTCTACGCCACGAATAGCACAGCGATGCCCGCGGCAAATAAGAACGTAGTAGGTAGGTAGATAAGTAAGTATAGTGGGCAATGGATATAGATATAGATATAGAGAGAATAATTCTATTTAATTATATTATATTGTATTATATTCTATCGTGTCGCGTCGCGTTGCGCCGCGTACTCCGTATCTACGTAAGATAGTAGTGAAATTAGCGAAGTAGTCTAGAGTACCCCTCTATTCGGGGGCTTATAAGACGGGAGGTGTAGATATAAGGGGAACTAAGCCCCCTTATCAGGGGGGGTGAATGTTGGACCCTAGGAGGCCTTGATGGAAGGGATCCATGGGCCGTGGGGGGTTGGAGGGGGGGGGGGGTATAAGTTGGATTTGGGTATTATATAAGACAACCTAACCCCAGTCTATTAACTATCCTACACTTTACAACTATAGTCCTCTCTACCCTCAATATCTTCTCTATAGTCAGATCTTACCGCCATCGTCACTGTCCTAAGAATACCCTCTTCAGAATTATCGTCCATACAGTTATCCTCGGGAACCTCCGAAGTTGTCACCATTGTCACAATGCCCTGATGCTGATCTTGCTTATGATGAGATGTGGGCCAATTAGTGCTTGCGGTCTCATCGTGAGCATTCACTTTCGTACTAGAGTAGGTGCTATTTTGTTGCGGTATTCGAGATCCAACAGTGGAGCGGTTCGTGATATGGGTGCTGTTCAGTGTATGGTTTCCTTCAGCATACCGTCCGTCACGTTTGTCAGAACTACTGCGCACAACTTTCGAAATCAGAACCGCCATCGAAAGTTCGATGTTAAGTTTGACGATGTAAGCAACAGGGGCAAATTGCACATAACTGAGGAATGATGTTAGTTTTGAGTTCGGCGCAAAAGATAAATGTCAATGAAACTAGAATACAGGCATGAGAGAAGGGGTTTATGAATGATGGGAGAGAAAATGTACCTGTAGCCGTCTGGCAAGCTCAATAGTCCCAAAAGCAATACATCCATGGACGTGGAAACGAGCACAATTGCTGTATTAAACCGGAAAAGTCGCATATACTTCGTTAATCCGTTGGCGATAAGTCGGTATCGTACCAGGTACAGGAAATATATGTTGAGTGCCAAATCAACGATAAGGAAGAAAGACTTCTCGACCCGTTCCCAGACGAGATTTACGGCAATGAAAGTTGGGCCTACTTTCATGTGCGCAGGAATCCAAATGCAACCAACAGAGATGTTAACAATGCCAATGATTATAAAGAGAACCCATTTGAGCAACCGGGCTTTCTTTTTGTCGACCATAATCAGACTGACACGATTGGCAATGATCAGCGGAAGAAGTTGTGTTTGTAACGCCCATAATATTACTATATTTTGTCAAGTTCAGCCAACGTTAATCAGACTTTTGGAGGTTCTTTGGGTGCACCACCTACCAGTACCGAGATAGAAGCAAAAACTTGTAAATAATAGTCAGTTAAGGCTCTTGAAAGTGAAAAAAATGTATGGGATCTGCCACATAACAATAGAAGAGACTGACCTTGGCGGGATAATTCCACATAGGTACAGATACGTCATGACAGCAAATATAAGATTCACTATCGTGTCTATCCATATCATGTAGAGGTAGGCGTTGTGTAAGGTCCGCGTGCGTTGCCATATGCTCCAAGTCTGTTGCAATGCTTTTCCTGCAGTAGGCAAAAACAAACCCAAAAAGACGCCAAAGAAGATCGAGTAGATTTCCATTTTCGAAACAGTTGAATGTATTAACAATCGTCTTAATTGATCGATTGATGGGTTTGAAGTCGCGCAACCCCATTAATTAGATATATAAGTGTTGAGCGCGAGGAGAACATACGCACTCAATCACTAGCATGGCAGATCACTCCTCTATCAGTAAACAACAGGCGATCTAAGCCAAGAGTCTGAAAGTCAATAGGCTATGCTTAACTTGTGGCCATGTATTCGGCCCTTTGAATGCGAGTGGGCTGATTTAATAATGCCGATAGATTGGCCGTATCAGGGGTAGCTAATCCCTCCTTGTATCGAGTCAACCTTGGGCGATCCATCCCACTAAACGTGCTGACCAAAATCGGTTTCCAGTTCGCGCACCTCGTTTGTTCAAAGCGCACGGTCGTTCTCTAAGAAGCTTACCCAATATATACTAGCGCCGTGCGGGGGCTCTGTAGTTATGATTAGTTCTGATTGTGGGGTTTAGCGAGCAACCCTGTTTGTGATTGGCCTTATTCGGCACTAACATAGCATACTAGATTTGCTAACCAATTAAAACGGTCAACTATGCGAGTGATCCTAGAAGCACTAGCACATTCCTAGTAAGAGTTCTGAAGGGTAGCCGTGCGCTGAGAACAAATGATGTGCGCAAACTAGAAACTGATTTCGGTTAGCACTATGACAGACATTTCATAGGAAATCCGCAATTGTGGAATAGGCGAATCAGCTCCCTTTCCAGATTTCTAGAGCCAATCTGCTGGGTACGAGAGCCAGGGTTGGAACTAGCTACAATGGGTATCTGAAAAAATAAACATTAACTAATGCACGCGCTGCCTCTTAACTGCGCTCGCCAATCTATGAGTGACAGAACGAAACCCACACCGAGTCGCAACACAATGCCTGAACGCTGCCCGTAGCTTGCTACAACACTTGTCGCCAAGACCTATGGTACCACCGCTAATGTATATGTAGTTAGACTCTTTGACCTTACTCAACGCCAAGCTAAGGTCGCCTAAACTTACTAAACGTGGATTGATTCTGTTATTATACAAATCTAAGCATCAACACTCGCACAGTCGAGTATCCAAACCTAATAGTGTTCCTGTGAACAGGGATAACTGTAGCGATGTTACAACACCGCCAAGGGTCAGACCCGTGTTATAGTCGGATCGGAGGAAGTATGCGCCGCCCTCTTCAGCAGTTATTCGTTCTTGTAGTCGGACCCGACTTGGATCCAACCAGGACAGGTATATATAGAGACACTCCCTGTACCTAGCTCTGTAGTTTTCGATATCCTTTCGTATAAGACCTATAGGTGTCTACTCGAATTAAGGCCTTTTCATGTCCCACGCACTCCCATATGCCTCTGAGTGATACTACCGCCGATAATAGTCCGAGTAGTCTTGCCTGCGTCGTTACAATAACATTAGAACGATGATTAGAAGGAAGCCAGAGTAATCTGTTACTATTCCAGTAAACCCATTCTTCTCCGCTAAGCAGCGATGGCGTAGATGTGTTACAAGTAACAGGAAGGATTCTCTTCTGGACGAGTGGTGCGAGGTTGGAGGCCAACCAGCAGACACGTTCAAAGGCAGTTATCGGCGCGGTGCGCGCAGATCACGTGACTGGCCTCCCGCCAAGGAAGGGCCTCCGACTAAAGAGGAAATGTCAGGGGAGGCCACCAAACCAAATGATGCTATGGCCTCCCAAACCTCCCATCTTCTGTGCTGAGAAGGGTAAGGACGTGGGATGTCAGGGAGGACAATACTGGAAGCAATGAGGATATAAGAATGGATGGATTTCATTATTACTCTCGTTTTGGTCAACTCTCATAAGTTTTTCTCTTACCCAGATTAATACTTAGTTGGGCTGGCGTGATTTGTCCCCCCGGTTTTGATATTTGTCCCACCCCCCACCGAATTACCGAAAATAGTGACTTTTGTGCCTTACAATGCAATCTCACTACAACACCAAGTGTAATTTTTATTTTTAAAGCTAGAAATACGTATCGCATACTTTGAAGTATCATCAACATACAATTTATGAGTTTAGGCCGCGATAGAAATGAGCTAAATGGAGTTGAATGTTAAGACTGGTCTTGAGTTGGAATGATATAAAGCTCTTGGTGTCAAGGCTCGAAGAGTTGGTTTTCGCGGATAAGAGACAGGGTGCTGTGAACGAGCAGTTACTGGTCAGAAGTGCGTTACTGAGGAGTAGCTAAGAAGGTAACTCTTGCATTAACTATTAAGTTGAACACAATGAACTACAAGTGTTCATTGCCTATGCTATATACTTGTGTCTCATGTACTTTGATCAGTTGCTCAGTTCCGCCAAGCGGTACTGATCATTAAGCATCTTGCAGATGTTCATGCAGAGTGCTCAGTTGCTCAGTAGCGTCAAGGCATACTGATCACTGAGTAAGCTCGGACATATACTTTCCGGCCACATATGGTTTCCGGCCACCTCACCCAAAGCATCCACTTAACTCAAAGTCGCGATTTGCTTGACAACAACAATTATATTTGCCACTCAGTACACATAGAGCTAAGAGTAAGAGCTGCTGCTGCTTCTTTTTCAGCTTCTTTCTCTGTTGAAGTGCTTGCCTGTTGTGCCTGTAGAGCTGCTGCTCGGTCAATAGCAGCCTTAGTACTCTCAACGTTGCTAAAGCGCTCATTTGGATTAACTCGAACTCACTTTCTTCTACGAGTAATCTTATAGCTATCTAGTTAATACTTCACTCGTTGATTTTCAGCTTCAAGCTGGGCAGCTCGGGTGTTCGCTGCTGCAATAGCCTTGCCTGCTTTGCTAAGCACAAGCCGGGTGTCTCGTGAGAGAGATTCTGACAACAGCTGCTGCTGCTGGGCCTTATGTAGAGCCTGTGAGCTCTGAGAGGTATTAAAGATCTGTTCTAATAGATCTAGGGCCTGACTGGCTGCTAGCTGAGTAATTGGACGGCCAGTCACTTAAGACGAGAGCAGCACAGCGTCTAGGTTGTATGGGTAGAGCCCAGCAGTCCTCTAGCTAGCTCTAATAACACGCTCTAATAGGCTTCTATTCTAGCTCTGTTATACGATACTACAAAGCGCTCTTTCTTAATTGGTACTGCGTCGTCAAGAGCTAAGAGAGCTCGAATCTAACCACGATAGCGCGACTTGGGTACACAGAATGGAGCTAGATCTAGTAGCTGCAGCACGTAGGACGCGTGAGCTAGGAGATATAGCAGGTGGATCTTATTCACCTTGTAGAGCCCCATAAACTTGATAGGCGTATGGGAGCCGCGGCTATTAAGAAGGAGTAGTTGATATCTACCGCTTGTAGGCGCCGTATTTAGTATAAAAATCTGCTGCAGCCACTCAGATCCAATCGAATTTAATGTCCACCTATTCTCTGAGGTAGTGTATAGCCAGTCTGGTGTACTAGTAGCTAGAAACTACTTAGTCTAAAAATGCTTGCCCTTGAAGATGACTAGGCACTAGAGCTTGGCACCGGTGGCGAAGACGGTCCCGATAACTAATACCCACTCGCGATCCTCTAGAAACTTAACGTAAGCTTTCTTCTTTGAGGAGCTTGTGAGCACCCTAGTGTTCGTACATACCCCTAGCGCCACTCCAGTCTCGTCCATATTCCATATATCTTCATACTATATGCCTAGCTCTACGCGCGTACGCTCAAACAGCTCAAGAAAGGCCTTCACAGTCTCGTAGCTAGCGCCAGTAGTACGTGCGTCCTCTATCGTTTGGCCAACTATCGATAAGACGCGTAGGTTATAGGCAACGAAGTGAGGTACCTAGAGTTGCCCTAGCGGCTAGTAGTCGCCGTTCATACGAAGGATTCGGGCGGCCATTTCTCGTACGCGAGAGTAAGAGGGCGGCCATGCGCGTGAGTCTTCTTCTAGTGTCCACTCTACTAGAAATTACTTTTATTCTAGAGTTAATCGCTGCTAGTATTAATAAGCTATCGCGTGTGGTTGTTAGCCTGCTCGTCGGCCTTGCAGCGTTAATCGCGGGACGCCGTACCAATGTGCAGCTACTCACTCGCTCCTCAAAACACCAGAATTAAGATCTTCTATAGCATTTTAGATAGCAAGCTTCTGTGTGTTCACATTGAAAGCGTAGTGTTAAAGAAATTACGACTTTGAGTTAGGTAGGTGCTTTGGGTAAGGTGGCCGGAAACCATATATAGCCAAAAAGTATATGTCCGAGCTTAACATCCCCCCCTATGTGACGAGAAACCCTCTATGCCGAGAACAGCCAATAAGACACAGCATTATGTCAGGGAATCCATTATCTTTGCGCTCTCATTGGTCGTTCTCAGCACACAGGGCTTCTCAGCACACAAAGCGAGACGTAACACTTTTTCTTCCAGAAGCTCGGACTATCCACAGCGTGCTTTTATATAGACGAGCACAATGCACATCTACTCTACAGCTCTTGCTCTCCTAGCACATCGGCCTCTGACCCAAAAAAGTGCGTTGTCGACCACACTATTGCTCGTTCTATTAGTGCAGTCTGTAGACTCTCCTCTAATACCCCTGTTTATTCGCGATAGTACACATCTATATAGATCCCGGTAGACTAGAAAGAAAGCTAAGATAATAAAAATTAAGACTATGGCGTTAAAAAGTTAGTTTAAGGTAGAGAATGCACATCCCAGCAGTTTCTCCGCGCGAACAGCAATATCGTTAGAGTGTGTCCAGCCGAACGTGCGCTACTAGCAGACCTTAGCATGCAGTAGCTTGCAGTAGCGTGCTAAGATATTGGAGTGCTTTGCGGCCAAGGAAGTAACTGGATAGAGGGCGGATGGCCGCAGACGCCCACCAGCAGAGGGTCCTCCCAAACTATATCCACTCAAGTCTACGCTAAGGAGATAGTGCAAGACATAAGCAGAGAGAGTATGGGCAGCCGAATGGAAAGCCGAAAATCGAGGAAGAGCAACTTACAGACTTTTACCGCTGCTGATAAAGAAGGTGCTTGAACTACACGAGAACCTTAGTAAGCGCGAAAGCGCTCTACTAGTCTATGTGCGAATAGAATAGATTGGACCAAACGACTTTCTCTTTAACTAGAGTGCTAGAAGTTATTGGCGCACGATGTGAGTGTGGAGAGAGAAGATAGACTACTACTTATATCCTACTCTAATGCAGAACGCCATTCCTCTAGAAATAGAGCAGTTTTGGGAGTACCTTGCCATCCTTGGTAAGTGACTTCGTATCTACATAACGTCAAATGAACTTTGTCAAACGGGTAAGTCCTTTCGTGATTTCAGCTTTCTCAATGCCTTGAGCCAGAAGACCTTGACAAGCTCTTTTACCACGGTGAAATCCAAAGACCTAGATTGCTTTACGATAGGAGCATAAATCCTGCGATAGGAGCATAGCAATTGAACATCTTCTTTGTTGAGATTTTCCATACTGCTTCATATTAGCAATGGCCAAATTTCAGGTTTTCCATGCTTACTTGGATTTGGCGGCGTTCATCGACAACAGTGGACCTGGACCTCCTATTTCTGAATATTCTAAGTATTGACAGGCATCAGAGTATGTTCTACGTGCAGTCTCCCTCTTTTTCTTATCGTTCCTGGAAATCGTGTCAAAAGCAACTGATTTGTTGCGTAGTCCTCGTGAAAGCTTGAGTTGCAGGCTTTCATATTGATCTACTGCATTGCTGAAATAGAGAAGGTTATATTGGTATAATTTGGTATCTTACTTTGAAGATATCATTTCAAAAATCGCCTCTGCCCGTGCGATTGAGGTTTCATTGTAGACTCTGTCTGGACCGACAATTTTCTGATGTCGAAACTCAGTGATATGTTGAGCAACCTTTACTGCTCTTTTTAACCTGCTCTACTGGTTTGGAATCAAACGTTGGAAGTATTTTTCCGCCGATGTTGGGGTGACCCGTGGTTGGTGTGGCTGCGGTGTGGCTTGGACCGAGGACCGGAGAGAATTTATTCGTTTAAATAGCTCATCAGACCTGAACTCCTCTGGAAGCAGTTTGAAACACTCCACTGTCGTTTCTTTTAGGAAGAATCGATGCACACTTGCAAGCAAGCATGGAATACCAAAGGCCAACCCTATGTACACATCAACTTTCGCCCCATCCTAAGAGACAACTTTGATTACTCAGCATATCATCCCTTATCTTCGGTAGAGAAAGGCGGTTGTGTGACATCTCTGTTTCAGTACAGGCAGTCAGAGCAACCCATAAAGCCTCTCCCTTTGAGTCTGGATAATAAACTAGGATTGCTCTTGAAAGGGAATTTACACTGGGTATACGTTTAAGACCCTTACAGATCAATGCATGCTCTTGTTTAGATCGAACACCGATCTTAATCCTGATAATCGGCAAGTGCGTGTTGTCAATATGCGCGTCGAGAGTCTCGAGATATTAGCTAACCCTTACAGGACGCCTCAAATCGCTCACGTAGCACTACGTCATCCACCTATTTGCCCTATACGTCAACATATACGAAAGAGGTAAAGAAAGAAAAGGCTGGGTCCGCCCTGGAGGTTGAATTTTCTATAAATGTGCAGTGTGGGAATAGCATGTTTCCAGGAGTGCGACAGGGCCAGAATGATCTCAAGTCAAGGTCGTCCTGGAAGTCTGGTCCTATCAATATGTAGAACAGGTCTTTCGAAAAAACGTAATTTTATGAGTTTGCTTGTCGGAGCATACGACAGTAAATGCTATTGCCGTCACTTCCGTCTCACGTGACAAATTCACATAACGTCCTATCCATGGACTTACATTGTTCAATCGATTGCTGCTACTTACACTCAATTTCGACCTTATGAAATGTACAGAACCTCCTTCACTCACGCTACGAGTGCTCACATCGTTGTGTCTGAAGGCTCGGGTCGCATAACCTCCCTTCTGATGCATCAACTGCCTTACTGAACGATCTTCCCGCATGTGCTGATCGCTGCATCATCATACCAAACCCGCGGTATCGCCCTGTATGGCTTTGATCGATGTAGTGTTTAATAACTTTAGGCTACGTAAGCTGTGATGAGGCGCACTATCACCAAGTCTATCATGCTAATCTCGGGACACAGTCAGTCAACGAAGCGCCCCCATAATGTGATCCACTTATGCACAGACAAGATCTCTCTAGCTCAGACTGATGATGGTGTTCAGCGCCCAGCCAAGCCATCGGAAACGTGCCGCGCGGATTGCCCCGTACCTACGCTCGCATCCATGCCGTTCGTCGGCAGGAGTTCTGACTGAAGCCACCTCCCAGACAGCAGTGGCCTCTCAGTGTCTGGATTACGCACCAAAATATCCCTATAATACGTACCCTTCCTGCGAGACCTTAGAAAGGCGTGCCCATGAACAGGATACCATATGTCGACAGCTTAATAGCGCGGTGCTCTTCAAGGGCGCCTCGGCGGGTCGCGTCTGAGTAGATAAGTGCCTGTGTATATTAGTCAAGTATTAATATGCCTTTGACAGTCTCACTTACACTCTTCACGATAATGCCGCCCAGGCTATGCGCTACGAAGATAATCGGCCGCTTACTCTTCTGCCGCGACTTAGATTTTGTTTAGTATATAGTCTGTCCACTGCGTACCTCCGTGATCTGCCTCTCCAGGCACAAGTCTAACACCAGCGTTCGCGCATGGTCAAACAGGTACTAGCAGCTCACCTGCGACCCACTATGCGTGTTAGCGTTGTAGCCCCCGCTAAGTATACGGGTGTTAGGGAGTTGGTGCCTTTATACACTACTTATAAGCCCTGCGCAGCCGTAGCAGTTAGCTCTGCTAACCCTGGGGACGTCGAGGACAGTTCTACGGGACCCTGCCTAGGTATTAGACCGTGTGAAATAAAACGTAGTCTAGAAGACATACCTTCGCCTTACTTTTCGAGTGGAAGTCAAGAAGTCGTCGCTAGCTGTCGTTAGCTATTTGTCGTTCAGCCCGCACGCTCCACCCGCACCGCGCTTAGCTGTCAAGGGCCAGCTGCCTTGCTGTTAGAGCACTCCTGCCACATCACGACAGTGCATACAGCGGCCGGCCTCGTGCAGCGCGACAGCCCTCTGACGATGTCTGTTCGACGCACTGCCAGGTCTAGACGTGGGTCTCATGTAGTCCCCTCAGGGTCGCAGCAGCCCTATGGCCGATCGCCGGACCCGCCCACACAAGCCACCACCGCAAGCCCGTGTCCGTCCATGGACCCAGCTTCGTTCCCGCTCGGCCGATCCCACTTTTCAGGCGCGTTTACGCCGTCCCAGATTCAAGGTTCGTGGTTTGAGAAACCCTAGGTCGAGGCATGGGCAGTCTTAACATAGCACGCAATGCAGAGGCCATGCTGCAGGGCCGTTCACGCCGTCCGACGTGTGTATGCTAGTGCAAGAGAGTGGGGCGGGTAAGATGCGGACGTAGGTAGCGGAAGCGGTGGGTGCCGTCATTGCTAGCACCTGACGTCGGTTCTCCACTTCCCCAATGCCTTACCGGTAGCCTAGACTTGTAACGAAACACGACAACCCCTAATTCAGGGGTGGGGGATAGGCTTGCCGGAAACATTATATTCGCAGTCGATAATTTACAAAGCCCCCTTCCAGTTCATACGCGCAAATAGAAGAGGCGTAGATAGCTGGAATACGATGATGCTGGAACAAGATGAAACGTTCAAACGGTAGCGCAAAAAGAGGATAGGTATCAAATAACGCTTCGCTGATAGTCACAGTACAGCGGGCAAGACGTCAAAGTCTTTCGACGCTGCTTCGCAGTCTCCGTTTGTCCACTCTTTTCAAGAACCTGTCATTACAACGACCTCCTGTTTCGTTACTTGACTAGACTGAATTGAGTCTAATTCCATGGTCACAAAACGGAACCGCGACGTGCCGAAACGACCAAGCACGCGCTCGACAAGCGGCTTGAGGAACGGTGTACAAGCTGCAAAAATGAGGCCTATCTCTTCGACTCTGTACCACCAAAACAGTGGCATCCAATCACGAATAGTGCTTTCTCGAGGGTTCCAAAGGTATGCATGGTATATTATACATGCTTCGGCCGTAGCCGCAAGCAATCCGAGTGCCATGAGGGTGCTGATAAGTATCCGCTCCAGAACAGGCCGGTGCAACGACCAGACAAAATATATAGGTATAGCAGCGAACACAATGTCGCTCAACATGCCAATCGCTATTATGGTTCAGTACCTACTAGAGTAGAATACCAATTGCAAACTTACCTGAATAAATGTAGGTGTAGGATTGCGTCCTTGGGAGGGACCAGCAAACCGCGTCAGGCACGTATTCCCACATGGCCCGGATTGGGCGGCATTGGATAAGAGCAATGACGTCCAACGAAATTGGTAGGCACAGCTGGGTGAAGATCAAGATCTTGAGCACCACTCTCCAGGTCTTGGATGCTTCAAACCGAAGCAGCATGAACCCTATAGACATCCTCGCGAGAGAAGATGCCCAAAATCCCAAAAACCCCAACGCATATAAATGTTTGCGAATCTGAACCATAGTACCTGGTACCAGATAGTACTCAGGACGTCCGAAACCAAGAGATATAGCTGTAAATAAGTTGAACAATACACCCAGTTCACATAGCTGCCATGAATCATTAACGGTAACCCGGTCAGATATCCACTATAGGTACTTACGAGAGCCGCTGAGACTAAGTAATCGGGGGCACCCAGCTTGAACACAGGTCGAATCCGAGTGTACATGCGCACTCCATAAACAATTATTACAATTGCCAACAAGCATGAAACACCCACAAGCCCTGGGGTAGCGTTGCTGGTATCTCCACCCGCCGGCGGCTGCTGACTCGTTTCCATGGTGCTCGGGGTAGTGAAGTTTCGTTGTGAAGATTCGGAGTATCCACCTAGGTAGGTATTGATTTAAGAGTGTTTTGCTTTCATATGCTCATCAAGACGAAGGAGCCCAGCGACCTTTTAAAACTTATATTCTGCATTTGTATAAATCTGAATTAGAGAGCGTCCTGCTGCTTGTCACCTTACTTACAGCCACACCGACATTCCATGCATTGCTCGAATCCCCGCTGGGTGCTATGTGCGTGCTGTGAGTCATGTCCAAGGTCCTCTAGTTTACTGATATCATGGTGGCCTTGGAAAATCGGTGGCCAGAGCGGATGGCCAAACTTTGGTCAGAATCCTTGGATGTGCTGCGTTGAATTCGGTCTCAAATCCCACTGGTTGGATCCCTAATGCACCTAATCATTTTTGTCCATAGACTTCGCGCTAATTCCTCCTCTACACAAAACGAATGTGGCGAACCCGACAGGCGTGCATGACCCGGCTGCAAGGACCACCTGGGCATAGATGACGTGAGGCTAGAAACGATAACCGACACCGCGGATAAGCCACTCTCCATGCAATAGGATGCATAAGACTACAGCTGAAAGTATTAATCGAGGTGGAAAGCTCCGCCTACCGTTCAGGTGGTATTGCGAACGGTACGATAGCGCGCCACCAACGCATGGGCCATAGCAAGACACTGAATATTCTTACTCCAACAACTCTCTTTACATCAATGCTGCTTTGCTTTACTTATCCTTGATCTGTATATGAATTATAACATAAGGACACATTTAATAGCTTCGATTGCTTTTTATGGCCCATGCGTTCGGAGCGCGCTATCGCACCGTTCGTTTGACCCATAACGCCTGCACGTAGTTTACTGCACGATGGACGGACTGAGAGGCCCGCCGGGTGGCTGTCCCCAAAAGCTGGAGGCTTGCCGTAGCGTGGCAGACTAGCAGCTTGGCGATCGTGCGAGTGCGCACAACAGCGCTCGACCGCGTTCGCGCCCAGCTGTCAGCTCCAACCTACCTACCTACCTACCTCTACGCAACCCTCACGAATAGGGCCCGATTCGTAATTTCTCCGCAACTCGGGCCTGTTCCGTCTCCCCTTTCAGTCCTAGCGGGAAACCAACCCCTTTTTATGATCTATTCAGGTTTAGCTGAGTCGCGGGGAAATCACTAGTCGGGCCCTGTTCGTGAGGGTTGCGTGGAGGTAGGTGGTTCTAAAGCTCGTGACTTTGACAGAGCGAAAGGTACCCGAGATGTGGTTCCCATTAAGATATAAGGGTGCAAAGGAACACGCCAACGTAAGTTTATTAGGTCCACTAACTAAGAATGCATAACACTCATCTGAAGGACAGGGATATCGCTACCGGCTCGAAAGTAGAGAACTAGTCGTAACGGAACTAAGTGTTGAAGAGAAGTCTATAAGTGTGTATAGAATTTTGGAAGAGTTTGTTGTACCGATACAGTATCCCACCATGTCGGACTAGGTCTCTGTAGTAATAAATTTCGTACAACGTATTAGTCGCTCGCTGCCTAAGTTTTGGTGCCCTGTTAATGATAGAGACAACGCCTCAGGACTATCTTCGCCTACATTGTGAGGATCTGGGGTCTCTAACGCAAGTGCTAGAGGCGTGAGGCTCTTTGATATGTAGATGAAGAAAGCGTTTGCAGGGTCACTATATATACTAGCATAGTAGGTGCCAAAACTTTCAGATATAGCCGTACTGGAGCTGGGCGATCCGCCAAGAGTGGGTCCATTGGACCGCTCTTGGTCGGATAGCAGGTCAGCAGTTTGAAGGTCCTTGGCCCACATCCGCACGAAAGCTATATTATACAGAAGCAAAATACGGTGCGGCTAGGCTACGGATGCCGCCACTATCGAGAGCGAGCAGGAAGAGGCCATGCTCAAACATGGCTGGAGGAGAGAGCAGGTTGATTCAGTGAAGAAGCTAGATTAGATAGGAGTTATACAGTATTACACGGATGACTTCACAAGGCCGCAGAGCCGCACGTAAAGTGTTGAACATGTCGTGGTCTATTTTAGCTAGACGAAGTTGACAATGAAAGAGGCCCATCTGCGATGCCAAGTCAGCGGGATCACCAAGCAGCGAGGAGAAAGGTTCAGCCGAAGTGCGGTTAAAGTTTTCTTGTGAGAATTCAGAAGCTAGAAAGGTAGCGGTGCTCCTACAATGCTTATATAATGCGCCAGTTGCGCTCGACTAATTCTAACGCATCCTGAGAAACTGTTATATCTCGACACGAACTTCCTAAAAGAGACGATCACAAGGGTCACGATTCCTAACACTAATTCCAAAATATGATCTCGATACGAAAAAAATCCGCAGAGTTGAACAGCTTTAGTTGAAGTTACTCAAACAAGGCATTTGATGAGTGTGTTGTTTGGCAAATGAGACCGCCTCTTGCTTCCGCGGTGCAGGTTTGGGTCTTGGCTGGAATTGGCACTAACGCTTGTGGTGTAGTTAGACGTGGATAAGGATAACAAGGTTGCGTCACGTACGTCTATCTTGTTACACCCCTCTTGGCGAGGCAAGCTCTTGCGAACATTGAGAAACCGAGACGTAATTTGGTTTTCGCGGCAGACAAGCTCTAGAACTTGAAGATGTATTATTTTTCCGCGTCGGTGGTGTGCACGCGTTATGAGCTGAGACGTGCATGCGCTAGCACTAGTTTTCACGGGTTGCGTCTCTAGGCTGCAGATGCCATGTAAGCACGGTCCTCCAAAAAGCAATATCGTCACCAACCCACAATAAATGCTATATGCAGAGACAGAGTTCACGGACTCGCTTCAATTGGTTTTGATACTGTTTTATGTCGTTATTGGTTATCAGCCCCAAGCTGTCGAGTCCACAAGCTGCGCCTCAATGTCCCAGGTATTGAACAAAACGCACTTCCTTCGGGATATTGCGAGCTCAAGCTTGTGCATGCACACTCGAGAAAGCAATTCCATGGCCACCTTTTGAGTTCCGGACCCACATAACTGAGCTCAACTGCAACTGTTTGAACTGTGTTGCTCCTTGGCCACTTTTATACAATAAATTCATCAAGCCAAACTTCACCTGATGATGACAGGGATGATATCCAACGAGAATGGCCAACAAGTCAGCATTATAGTGACCTCCTCCATCTATATCTTGATAGCTTTTGTTTCTGTAGGTCTGCGCCTTGTCGCCAGAAGCATCGGGAACAGAATTGATTACAGTGATTATTGCATTATCGTAGCCTTAGTAGGTCAAACATTGCATAAGGGGATCGCATCTGTTCTGAAATATCTACTAGCTATGTGACACTGCACTGCACGCTTGCTGCATCTCACTGGTTACATGTGGTGGCTTTGGATTCCATAATGTGGAGATTTATCAACGCTTTGGGCCTGAGAAGGCAACCCTCTTCTTCAAATTGAGACTAATAAGTGGCCCTTCCTGACTTCGCAACCTCTGACCACTTTTTTGCTGTAGGGAATCATATCCTTTTCGATACTGTGGAACGCCACTGTGTGTTTCAGCAAATTATCGGCTCTATTGATGTATCCGGCACTGATACCAACATCGTCTATGTTGAAGTGGGCCTGTGTTCTCGGCACTTTGATCATAACGTGGAATATGGCCGACGTTATTGCTGCTTTGTTGATATGCCAGCCACTCGCGAAGAATTGGGACTTTAGGTTACCAGGAACTTGCGGTGGTCAACCGGCGTTTTGTTTCTCAATGAGGCTCGTCAACCTCCTCACAGATGCCGTGATCATTGTATTGCTAATGCCATATCTTTACAACTTGCGACTGACTTGGCGCAAGAAATTAGCCGCGATGGCCTTGCTTAGCGTTGGAACAGGGTAAGTGCGCGCTGTTGCACAGCTCTTCTGTTATCGATGCTGACATCTGGGTCAGAACTTGGGCCATTACTATATATCGACAAATACTACTACCTAGTTTAGACTTTGCGGATATGACGTACAACGGTGTGCTCGCCACAATCCTTTCTGGTCTCGAGCCTGCGGTCGCGATCGCTCTGGCGTGCATTCCCCTCATGCGTATTTTGTTCAGGAAGTCCAGGAGGACTACCCACTCCAGTTATCAGTACGGCAGTAACAGACAAACTGATCTTTTCCCAAAGAAAAGAAGTGAAACACATGGTCTCAACCTCACAGCCACGTTCTCGAAATTGGTGGACAAGAACGATGCTTCTTCGCAGGTTGAGCTGCAGTCTATCAAGCCTTCTCACATATTTCGTGTTTCGCCTGTTTACGAACACTAAAAATACAGCAGTTACTAGCTAGTCCAAACCATGCTATCGCAGTTGAGGGGAAGTGGGCGGTAAGAAGAGACTGATCGAGGAAATATGGAAAGATTGTGGACAAGGTGCAGCCTGATATCGCAACGTCAAAGCACACTTCCCAATGCATAGATGGTAAGAGTCGGTGGCCGAAGTGACATAGCGACGATAAGATGGCTGGGTTCTTTGGATTGCGCAACTAACCAGGCGGCTAGCAAGGATAGAACAAATACGTGGGGTCTATGGGAGAGACTCAACCTAGAACAGCTTGTGATTGGCGAGTACCCAGGGCCTCGTCTTGACTATACCTCTCTGTCTACATAAGTCTTGATATGGGGAATGAGCAAGTGCGGATAATCATACTAACAAGTCTTGCCGACTTATAACAGCGGGCCTGACTAGACCATTCAGTGCCTGCCTCAGAGCGAGCTTGCTGGGGCACAGCTGCGGCGTCCTGCACATGAAGGTTGTTTCTGAGTGATGTTCTGTTCTTCCTGTTGTTTGTAGGACACTAATGGCGGTACAAAAGCAAAAAAGAAGCGGGATCGATCGGCGGCAAGCCAATTACGTCTTCTTCCCGCTGCGTATGCGTCCTGGAAAATGCAAGCGTTCAACCCATTCGCAGACAGTTGAGAGAGTATGCAAGTGCTGTGGGGCTTGTGGTGAAGCCGTTTGATTCTAGGAAGAGCTAAGTTACTCAGGTGAGTAGCACAACCTGACGCTTGGTAGAGAGCCAGTGTCCACGCAGGATCAAGATTGGGATTACAACAGAAGCAAACGAAGGTTAAGGTGTGCTAACCACATCTCTGTCCACTTCATCGCCGGGGCGACTCGCCATCACACGCTGAATATATTATCAACAAAGGAAACATGGTGGAAGAAAGACGGACTCGGATTTGAATGGAGTCCGTGTGCCCGCAATAAATACGTGCAGGAGTATCACACTAATTGTGCCACGGCCGACGCGTAAAATGAGTAGATATCTTAGTAGAACGCATAGTACCCGGCTCTACCTACAAAACCGACTCATGATTACGTTCGGAGCATTCTTCTCAAACTATTGAAGCCTATCCTGTGCACTAGTACACCCCCGATTATTCCATGCATCATATGCAACGATCATGGTGTGATCGGAGTCCAGAAGAATCTTCTCCATGGACTCTGGAAGCTAGAGTAGAGCTGATTTGACGCCCACTGCCATCAGGAGGTCGCTGGCTTTTTTTCAGCGCTGACTCTCGTTATCCTGTTGCAGACTATCAGCGCTAATTCTCAGCTTTGCTCAGACCAAGGGGCCATATTAGCTCTAGCTTCCTTGTTGCAGTGTCTTATATAAGCTTATAATCTTCGGTCGCGAATGTCAGAGTAGTTACTGTGGTGATGACTGAGAACAATATCTCGTACGCGCTTGAGCGACATCCGTATATTTTCCCCCTGCTTCAACATACGGTCTATCTCCTCCAGTATAGGAGCCGATTAGCAAGTAATGCCTGTGCAGTCGCTTTCGTGTATTCGTTGTCTATAGACTTCAGAAAACTCAGCGATGAGCCCAGAGTTGACTAATATCTAGCAGAGTTAACTGCATTGCAAGTGAAGGTAGAGTTCTCTATACCTCATTGAGTTGGGTATAAAGTTCAGAGTTTCCCGAAGGCTGATGAAAAGATCCAGCACAGTGTGCAAGAATCGGGTCATTCATCTTCATCTTTAACGAACAAGAAACCTGCGAATGGTCACACCATGAAAGAGGACAGTAATTAGAGGTGGATTGTGTTACTGCTAGAGGCAGACACGCATATATGGCCGGGTAATACTGGATGAGGCAGACTGAGGCACTCTAAATAGCTTATGAGGACGGGAAAAGCTCAATATCTTAGCGCAATATAGGCTAATCAGGTAGTTACACTTCAACGTAGCCCTACAAGGATAACCCGGGAAGCGGAACCAAGAGGACGTCAAGGGTGATTATCAAACTTCAGGGACGTCCAATCAGATAAACAGCGAACCGCAGATCGCTTCACCAACGACGACTCAGACACCTCTAGCAACGCGTTAGAGGAAGCTCCTACATACGACGGTGAGGCCTGGCAGAAGCTAAAAACAGTTGTGAAACGTGCGTTGAGTGGTGCCTCAGAGAAAGATGCATCTACTATTCGGCAATCGCTCCACCACATGGCTATACAGAACACTCTTCTGACAAGCGAGAGCGAGGGTCTGCTTGACGCTTTTACTGCTAATAAAAGGAGAGAGATGAAGGGCAAGTCTCTAGACCTGCTGCAACACTATGAGTACTGGGGACCTTCGATAATGTGGACTCCTCGCTCGTTCCGTGAAGCTAAGGCTCGCATGAGGCTTGCAAGGGAGGAGCGAGAGGCAGGCGAGAAGGAAAAGGCTAACATGAAGGAGCTTGCTAAGGCTAATAAGCTGTACAACGAAAAGTTTGCGCAGGAGAAGCGTGGTGTGTGTGCGAGGGAGAAGGAAGAGCGTGACCGGCTGAAGACTGAAAAGGCCAAGGAAGTTGCTGAACGCAAGGCAGAGAGAGAGCGCGCCAAAGGCAAGCTCGTGACCATCAGAAAGTTATCCAAAAGCCGCCTACAGGCAAGCGCAAGGCTTTACAAAAAGCAGCACTAAGGAAGAAACAGAAACGTAGTGCTAGAGATGATATGGATGGTGCCTCGCGCAAGGCGCGTACCCCAACACCGCCACACTAAACTAACATTCGCGGCCGCAAAATCCTCCTGCCAAGAAAGTATTGGTGAGAAAGTTTGTCGCATAGATCTATAGAGTACTCTGCTAAGTTACCTTATAATAACTACTTGTGTGTGTGTGTGTGTGTGTGTGTGTGTGTGTGTGGCTCTACAGCCTTAATTGTGTGTAGCCCGTTTTGGTGATGCGCGTGCATTGTGTGTACGGACACGGTACTGATCCAACACGTTAGGCTAGATGTAGTAATTCAGAAGCCACTGACGAGCCGAGACAGTAGCGTTCTTCGTCAGATCCCCACTAGCGAGGGCTTGCAGTGTCTCAAGCCACGCCCTCTTTTCAAAGGACCAGACTCGCTAGGGCAGATTGTACCTTCTTCCGGCATTTTCCCTTCATTCCAGTAAGCAATAATATGCTTAGCTTGACAAGTCGTCGGGTAGGAATGTGCAGTGTGCTAGACGGGTACTAGTTAGCTTGGTCTTGCAAAGTGGCACGTAACATGCAATCTTACCCCAACACCATCATTCTCTAGGATAACGGCTCCCTAGAAACCGGCGCTCATGTTACGGGCGGACACAAGAGGTGTCTGTCCATCAAGCGAGTTGCTCATGAAGAGGATAGGGGTCTTCGTCTTGGCCTCGAAGTTGCCCTGATAGATCTTCTTGACTTTCCATGGCCACTGAGCGCAGATCATCTGAATGATAGCGTTCGAACCACCGACAATATAGCTGGTGGCATATAGATCGCGCGCTGTAGCAGATGCAGAGAGACTGGTCATAATACGCGTATACGTAAGAAAGATACTCTCGATATTAATTAATGTACTATATTAATATATAGCAAAATAATTATATTATAGTAGAACTATATGCTTGTAGAGGCGCGTAAGTTTTGTGGGGTAACTCACTTGCTTGCCTGGCTCACTCGCTTATCCAACACGTTATGGCTATTATAATCTTCCTACTCGCTCTTACCCAGATTGAGGTAGAGAATTATTAGCACCTGACCCCGTGTAACAAACGTCCAAAATTTGCTTGTAATTCGACCGGACAGTATCTTAGATAGCACTACAGTCTTGTGACTGCCGGAGAACACTTGGCGATCGAGAAACCAGTGCGGAACATGGCATGGGAGGACTAGTTGGGCTTTTTGCTTCTAAACCCGAGATCTTCCCGACGCTATTGTGTTAAAGGAAGGATGCACAGGACGGCAAAATGACTCATGCATATTAGCACGGCAAGCTTAGACTGCTAAAGATCTAGTCAAGGACAATTTCTCCGCACTCCCCCGCACGATAGATGTTAACCGAGATCCCCCACCCCGAGGGAAGTCATGGCAGTGTCGCATGGCAAAAAAGTTTGCAGTTGCTTGAATCATGCGTGCGTTACTGGTGCGAGCGTAATGACCCTTCAATAGAGACAGAAGCCCTCACTTGTTTCCCCCCTCATATTTTTGTCAATATCGACTGTCCTAGAACCATGGCGTATGGAATCAGTAGCTGCGAGCAATTAGCCACAGCCCTCAATGTACTTCCCGGGATCTCTGTGTTGAACACCACACATATCGCGAATGGCACACCAATTGCGCTCCTGGACCTCGTACCTTCATGTGCCAATGCTGCAAGCTACAATTTGGCCACCGCGACAACAGATATGTGCCGAGTAATCGTAAATGCCAGTTCTAGTGCATCCAGCACCAATCGTATCGAAGCATGGCTACCGGATAAGTGGAATGGACGGTTCCTTGCGACAGGCAATGGCGGTACCGGCGGTTGCATCGATTACGGCAATCTACAGAACGGTGCAAGTTTCGGCTTTGCTACCTTTGGCACAAACGGTGGACATGACGGGCAGTCTGGCTACGACTTCTTCCTCAACAAGCCCGAGAATATTAATGACTTTGGATATCGCGCGATTCACGTCGAAGCGGAGACAGGAAAACAAGTGATTGAGCAATATTATGGTCGCAAAGCAGATTACAACTACTACTCGGGCTGTAGTACTGGCGGACGTCAGGGCTTCGAAGAGGCGATACTGTACCCGGAAGACTTCGACGGGATTCTTATCGGAGCAGTGGCTGTAGACTGGCTCCGTATTGTGGCTTCGAAGGGTCTTCTGGCGCGACGCCTTGGCTGGCCAAACCTTGAGTCCTCCAGCTACGTTTCTGCCGCGCAATGGGCAGCAATTGTTGCTGCACAGGCTGCCTTGCTAGACCCTCTAGATGGGGTCAAAGATGGGATCATCGACAACCCGACGCTGCATAATTTCGACCCATCGATACTTGCTTGCGGCACCGGCGTGCTGAATTCGTCAGTTTGCTTGACTGCTGCGCAAGTCAACACCGTGCGTGAAATCTACCAGCCTCTTGCAAATACCTCGGGCCATGTTGTCTATCCATCTTTTGAAGTAGGTGTGCCGACTAGTGTATTTTCCGCTAATACTGAAGTTGTGAACGGCATGACGATGCCACGGCTCAAATACGGTCTGGTTGATGACTTCTGGCGTGGTGCAGTCTACAATGACACTTCATTCTCAGTACTCAACTTCACCACAAAAGATATGGATTTTGCCACCAATCTGAATCCTGGAGGTATCAACATTGCAGGTGGCATATCGCACGACGTCTCCGCGTATCATAAGAGGGGCGGAAAGCTCCTGGCATACCATGGTCGCGCTGATCCAACCGTCATGTCAGGCCTGGCATCGCGCACTTTCCAGAGAACAGCTGAGGCATTGGATCTAACAACCAACGAAATGCACGATTTCTATCGTCTTTTTTATATTCCAGGCATGGGCCATTGCGCCGGTGGTAATGGACAGTGGTCGATAGGTCAGCCACAAATTGACCGACCTACTGGAGCCCAGTTCAACGATTCACAGCATAACATTCTTCTCGCCATGGTGGAGTGGGTGGAAAAGGACCGTGCTCCCGTCACGTTGATCGGAACAAAGTACGTGAACGATACAGTGGCGAATGGAGTGATAGAGAGTCAAAGAACCCATTGTGTATATCCAAATGCGAGCCGCTGGGACGGCAGTGGCGATACGAAGGAAGCCGGGAGCTGGAGATGTCAACTAGAAGGCATTGTGTAAATCCCTCAAACCCATATAGCTGTTCACAATTAATCTTCTAAACTACCGCCTAAACGGGCAAAGACACGGTCATTATTAGCTTAGGGATTAACTAATCGCATTAACTACAGCAGGTGTCTTGTGTTATCTAATGTACGGAAGGTGGGGCAGTTTAGAACCATCACGCAATCAGGTGTAGGGATAGACAACAATTAGATTCTTACAAAGCAGCATATTTTCCTAATCTAGTTTTCTAACTCTAAATCAAGCCCTTACAAAAAATCTAAGGCCTCGATTGATTAGCTACTCGCTGGAAAGAGGCCAAAGTACAATTCCAGAACCTAGTATCGGATCATCGATAGCATTATTGTACATCTCAGAGGAGTGAACGCCTATGTGCCCTGTACCGAGGTCGAGTGTAGTACCGGATTCGAGGCAACTGCGAGAACACTTAGCAGCAATAGATCCAGCAAGTTTGTCGAGGCAAGTACTAGACCCAGTATCATCATAGAGATCTCATGAAATGATCTCGAGTACATATGCAGGCGTGTATCTATCATGGTCAACAGGATCTTCATTTCCGGCACTTGAAAAACAAGAAAGAACGACATGCGGATGCCCTCTAGTTCCACGAATGATTCATAGCCAGAACTAATCTACCGTGCTACGTACCTGGGTTTCGTATTCTCTATGCTGTTGTTAACGTCTGATGACTTAGAAGTCATCTCGTTTGTTCGTATCTAGTAAATTACATATATATAGTAGTAGTCGGAAATTGTTAGGATCCCAGTATAGGAATGGTACAAAAAGCACGCAAGGTCAAGCCAGCGAGAGGCATCGATTTCATTTCAGTGGCTTCCGGTTAGAAGACTGTATTATCTATGAAATCATTCATATCTATACACGACTTGCCTAGTAATTTAACCAACAAGAAATTATTTAGCTAGAATAGAGCCATGCCAATCGAAGAAAATGTTTAGTAAACCTAATTAAAGTGCGATACTCCATCTTCACTACGCCGGTGCTTTGTCTCCGACTATGATCATCCTCAATTCAATTGGCTGGCCTTTTTCTACAACAATATTAGCATACAAACATTTCAACCGCACCCATCACTGCACTTGGCAGTCGCTGCTTCATCTACCTCTTATCCCGAAACAAGCTCAAGGAAACCGAGAGACTCACCATCATCCAGCTTCGCCATATCAGCATGCCCAACCAAAATCTTCCCATTATCCCCCCGATACGCCAAAAATGTGCCTCGCGCCATACTCCCCATGACCCGCGTATCACCCTCCACATTTTTTGTCACAATCCACCCAAACGACACACTCGTCCAACTCTCCCTGAAATCAGTCTTGAGTGCCTTATAACTCGTGAACAACAGCGGGGACGGATCCCAATTCAGCTTACTTAATTCTAAGTCAGTATCACTTCCGCCCAAGGTGTAGTTGTAGACTGTATGTTCTTCAATGAACTTGTGCCAAGCGCAGCTCCATGCGCCGCTTTTGGGAGATTGCGAGGCAGGTTGGTAGATGGGTATAAAACCGACAGCATAAAAGATAGAGGGATGGACTGTGACATTGCGGATGTTTAGATATCCGGTGGGATTGTCGAGGGTGAGGTAGTGTTCTGTTATATTAAGGGAGGAGGGAGCACTGAGGTTGGGCAATTAGTGAGTAAGTGCTTGGCGGAATCAAAGTGACGGTGAAGTAGCAACTATGACGTACGATGCGACTTGGAAAGCGACAATTTTGTTGATATATGTGTCTTCTGTGACTGAGAAACCATCATGGTTCTTTCTGCAGGATGCGGGGACTTCAGCTATGATCCTCCCCGCTTGCAGAACTAATAGGAGATAAACTAGCGGGCGGAACATGGTGCAGTTTCTGAGTCACAATAGTGACGAATCGAAGATTTTCAAGAACTATCTTCGAAATATGATATCAAGAAGGATCGAGAATGTGTATACTCAATGTCTTGTGCAGGGGCCCGTATATAGATATACATTAATCTTGGTGCCTGATCTACAAATTTACCGAGACCTCTGCATAATAAATTGCATGTACTATCGACGGGTGAATGTCACAGGTGGCCTTACATTTCCAGCCCGCAATAGGCACCTGCTAGCCAGAATAGACAATCTTCTATATAGATCCCACACATCTAGGAAGGCCTAATCAATGTGAAGCGTGGCCTAAGGTGCGAACCGCGCTGAAATAGGCCTAGCATTAGAGTCTCGTGCCGCATCTCGAGATTCTGTACCCTCTTAACCGCAAACGTTGAACCCCCACCCAAAACTAGGTTTGATATCACAAGTAATAGTAAGAAGGATCTCTCCACTTTATAGAACAGCGAGTGGTTACTAGAAACTACTTAAGATTACGCCAGAAAGCGATATTTATCGTAGGGCATTAGTCACGTAACTTAGCCTCTTACTAAGAGCCAGCTGTTAGAGCCTAGCCTTCTCTTTACCCCCTCTGGGCCTCTTTAGAGTCTATTAGCCCACATAAAATCTCCTTTCACGACACTTAGAGAATCTTATTCAAATTGTTATTGTTTGGCCACATAGCGGGTCCAGGGAGCGGGCAAACAGTCGGCTGTGGCTTTGCCCAGCTGTCATACTTGAAGAATGGCTGCTCACGGTTGTATACTCCCGGAATCTTGAACGTAGGCGAGGGGGAACCGTTATAGCTGCTGGCAACTTCGATGTGCGCACATTGAATGTAAAACTCTCGGTTCGTGTAGGGAGGATGAGTGGTAATCTGCTCGATTCGCATCAAGTACTGGCCCGCTGGGATCTCGGCGGGGAGCTTGAAGGTGAACTGCTTCTTATGCCACGACAGCCATGCCGAATCAGCCGTAGAGCCAGGCTGATGTCCAAGCTGGTAGACTTTGAACCAGTCACCAGAGCCATCGTAGTCACGAACATCGCCGGGTGCTTTCGAGAGATAAATCTAATAAAAGGGAGTTATTACAATGAGGAGATCTGCTAGAGTAGTGGTTAGGTAATCATACCTGTACGGGGCCTGGATGGAATAATTCTGTGTTAATAGATGCTTGGAAACCAATGACATCTTGGCCTGCCTTGACCTTGTAGGTCTTTGGCTGAGTGCGGTGATTCATGGAACCCTTGTTGCAGCGGAGATGTTCGCTGTTAATGAATCTGCCTTCATCCCATGAAGGCTGGAAACCGTTGTCGTGCTCGCGAACATACTGGTGTGGGCCAGTGACTTGACCGTTGATTACAAAATGTGGGAAGTGGTAGTGCGCTTGAGTGAGGTGGGACAGGTGCCCGAGGAAGCTGATGGCCAGCAGAATCTTCATTGCCCCGTAAGAACTCAATATTGAATTGACCAGTGCAAGGAATAGCTTGGAATGGATGCAGTCAGATTCAAGTCAGACTCAGACTCTTTATAATTTCGTTACATGCTTCGAGACCTCACCAGCTGTGTAGAAATGCAAGCTTTGATAGGCCATTGAAGGAGATGAGGAAATCATCGTAAGGCGATATGAAGTGACCCTATGGGTATTTCAGTGTTTGATTGACATATATCATACAATATGTATATAGCCCTAAAAAGTAAAAGTGAGAAGAGGGGGGGGGGGGTGGACTCCGCATATTCAACGCCGATGCACTGGTTTCTGTTCCTACCAACTGGCAAGTTCAAGCAAAGCCATGGAATGATCGCAAAAAGATTTAGCTGAACTCTTTTGTCTTGACTTCCAGTGCATGATTCCTATCACGCTGTGTGAACCTAGAGGAGGTCTTCCGTCCAAAAAGTGCCATCGTGCGCTTAACGAATCATTCACTACATACGCACACACACCAGACCTATAAAATCGCCAAGCAGCCTAATACTAAACACGGGCCGTTGAGCCATGATATGTTTGAATCGCTTGCGTGAAAGAATGTTTCATTTCGGGTTCTCGCTCGTCGCAATATTTGCGAATGTTATACTGTACTTATGTCGTACATTATAACCTTTTCAGATATGGAAGCGACATTAGTGTCCGGGATAGTTCGGCTATATCTTGATTCTGTTGCTAGCTGTCGATGAACAACAAATCACACTTGTTTTAGATTTCTGTTATCATCAAAACCATAATAGCCAGAAGAGCAGAGAGATGATATCAATATATGCACCATGTCCATCTCATTTAACACGAAGGAAGATTAGTAGTTCTACTGTTAAGGGGTCTGGAGGCTCACACGCCCAGGTACCCTTTTCCTCAACACTTACTCTTGCCTCTTGCTGCCAGAGGGTTTTGCCTGCGTATGTGGGCAGAAGAGACATGCCACGTTTTGGTGATTGTGCTGTCCACCCCCTCGTACCTTTACTTAAGCTTATACATGTGTCCTCGCAGTAAATATAGAGAATAGAAAAGTACCCAATCAAGTTCTAACATTGGATCAGATGATTGGATATCTAGAACTGATTAAAGAACCCCCAAATCTCATCTGGAACGTAGCTGCGAGCGCCACTGTCACTCCCGCCATCCACAGGTGCAGGCGCATGTCCACCATCAAACGCAAGCCATGTAACTGGATACCCAGACTTGCAGCCAGAGTATTTCGTTGTTACATGTGTCTTGCTGCCAGCTGCGGGCTCCCTAGGGCTCTGGCTTGTGCAACCATTGTTCTTAACGAACCTATCACGCAACGCCCGGCCGCCAGCAACATTGAGCGTTCCGTCGCTGATACCATGAATCCCAAGGTACGCGATGGGGTCATTTCCACCATTACATCCACTTAGCTGCCCTCCAGAGATAACAGCAACTGCGCGAAAGTCTTTAGCGCGGGAGCATGCGATGGAAAAAGACATCGATCCGCCGTATGAAAAGCCCGTCGCGAATCTCTTTGTCGTGTCAACGCAAAGGTCTGCCTCGATTGAGTTCCTCATTGCATCAACGAATGCAATATCCTCCCCGCCGCTGTTTGGCCAACCGTTATTTAGGCCCTGTGGCGCAACTAGGATAGCGCCCTCGTTGGACTTTTTCTGCATGCCATAATATGCCCATAGAGCACCGTCAGATCCGCCACTAGAGACGTCTCGCATGGTGCCGCCAACCCAGTGAAAGGCGAAAATCAACTTGTAGGGCTTGCTTTTGTCGTATCCAGAAGGTACACGAATGGTGTATTGCCGATTCTTGCCATTGACGTTGATATTCTTCACGCCCGACGTCAGCGTGGGCGTCTTTCCGCACCCAGCTGAGTTTGCGCGCTTGACAAGATCATGTGTAGTGCCAAAGCTGGCAGTTGGCAACTTGGAGATGTCCGCTTTGTTGTATAAGCGTTGCATCCTGTCATATTGGTTGTCTGATGGTGAGACTCACAATCTTGATAGTATCCCGGTGCACCCAATACTGAGGCTGCACCCATGAGCAAAGCTCCAGCGAGAGATGTAATATAAAGCATTTTGATCCGATGAGCAATGTGACAGCACATCCCCTTTGTGAGAGATGACTCCATATTATATACGCCCACTACTTGTGGATCTAGAAGCGCATCACCTGATGCTCCATCCACTCTCGCCCAGACGATCAGTAGTAACAGTAAAGCACGGTAGTTTTCCGGCCCAAAGCCTTACGCACAATATCTGGAAGATAGGCATTCAACGCCAATCAGTTTGGCTGTGGGGCAAGCCTGGGCCTCCTACTCCGCAGTAACGAGATTCTCCGTCATGCGCGTTGTTTCATCATGCTCTGATGGCCGTGCGCTAGCTATCTTTGTACAGGCGCAAACCCTTCTTGGTCATGGCTCTACTCTGGTCTTCCCCGCAGTTTTGATTGTTGCAATCTCGGGGAATTCGTACTACTAGTTACCGGTATATTAAATGAAGAAATGCAAATTCTCCACGAGCAATGTATGAAAACTGGAGAAAACCAGGACGGTGTTTCGGAATCCATACCCAGTTTCAGCGACCAGGATTCGACCAGTCATGCACTGGAAACTTGTTTCGTTCTACGTAGCCTTGTGCGCCTACGCTGCGCGCGCAGTGGACTTTTATGTCTTACCGTCTGGCTCAGATGGATTTGCAGGAACAGCAGCTGCTCCTTTCAAAACACTCGCTAGAGCGCAGCAAGCTGTTCGCAACCAGATTGCTGGAACGGCCAAGGAAAACATCACCGTCCACGTTGGTGCAGGCACATATACGCTTTCAGTGCCCCTCAAGTTTACAGTCGAAGACTCAGGCAAGAATGGTGTCACGGTCAAATGGGTTGGGGCCGGTGCGACGATATCAGGTGGGCTCAGGATTACCAACTGGACAGCAGGATCAAATGGTGTGTACTCCGCGAACGTTCCGGTGGGCCTCAAGTCGCGAAACTTGTACGTCAATGGGAAAGCTTCCAATTACGCACGCAGGAAGATTGCAAACCGAAAAGACTTCACTTACACGAGTACTGGTATGAAATGGACTTCAAGCACATACGACTGGCTTTCCTCTACCCCGGGGTTGAATGGCGCAGAGATTCGCTTTATCAACTCTTTCGCAGACCGTTATGCACCCATAGAATCGGTTGGAAACAGAGAGTTGATAATGAAGCAAAACACATGGTACAACCAGATCTGGGGCTATGACACCGTCAACAAGAACAATGCGGACTTTGGTGTTTGGGTACAGAATGCTTTGGCACTCCTGACAGAGGGTGGTCAATTCTATCTCGACTCGGCTGCTGGTAAAATCTACTACAAACCGCTCTCTGGCGAGAACATGGCAAGCGCAGACACGTATTTGGGGGTTTCCGAAGCGCTCATTGTAATTGGCGGAACTTACGCGGATCCCGTTCACGACATCTCGTTCCAGAATATCAACTTTGTAAGCTTGAGCCTAGGCTACTGCATAGACTCACCTCTCACTCAAACCACAGGCTCATACTACATGGCTGCAACCTGCTCGCATTGGATACATTGATCAGCAGACGGGAGGCAACATTTGCGAAGACAAGACATATGACTCCTCCAACTTTGAGTCTACCCGTCCCAATTGGTGTCAAATGCCGTCTGCAATCCAGATTAGCGCAGCTAAGAACATAGTCTTTTCTGGTGGAAACTACTCAATGATGGGTGGCGGAGGCATCGGTATCGGCAACGATGCCAACGCCCATATCACCGGTACTGGGCTGGGAGCAAACAATATTGCGGTTAAGGATGGCTACTTCACGCAGGTAATGGGTAACAGCATTACTGCCGGCGGCATTCGAGCCGATGCACACCATCCAAGCGATGCACGCATGACAAACTCACGCATAGAGATATCCGGTAACATCTTCTACAATGTTTCGTCTCTATTCAGTTCTACAGTACCGATCCTCGCGACATATGTCCAGAATTCCCTCATCTCGCATAACGACATCTACATCACTCCTTATACTGGCATCTGCATTGGCTACGGCTGGGGATCTAACGATGCCGGAGGTAGCTCTGAGTACGTCAACCGCGGACTATACAAGTATCAACCAAAGTATACGAATCCGACAACGTTGATGAACAACCGTGTCGAGGGCAACTTGGTTCACGGCTACGGCTACTCACACACTGACCTTGGCGCTATATACACTCTTTCAAAGAGTCCATCCACATACATTGTCGAGAATTATGGCTTCGACTCCAGTGGCTTTGGTGCTTATACGGATGAAGGCTCCAATTCATACTTTATCCAAAATAACATCTTCCTCTCAAATGGCATCTGGTATGCGCGCAACGGCGTGAACACGGCAAACAACACCATTACTGGTAATTACGGCAAGACTGGGCCGACTATTTCTGGCAATACAATTGTTTCGGACATTTCGAAAGTATCTAATGCGGCAAAAAAAATTGCGCAACGCGCTGGTGTACTACCTGAGAAGCGTGCTGGTCGGCCAGTGTCGAATCCCCCAATCTAACGTATTGAGGCGGATGAGCTACCTCTGGAACTGGGCAACGCCCGTTTCTATCAGCAAAATCATCGTTAAATATCAGACTGTATTGCTTTAATACCTAGCCTTTATGATAGTATTTACTAGGGTATATTGAAGCATGTTACAAGGCTTATGCAGCCAATGTGTCGAATTGAATGTGGCATTCGTGTTCCTAGAATATGTTGTGAGAGGGCAAGGCTTTGGTATTGGTGCAATGGTAATGGGAGCCAAAACTCAACTTTACGCCGCTGCATCCTTCATCGTAAAAAAATTCGTAGCGACTTGTGATACCAGGCGAAACTGTATCAAGATTACCAACGGTAGTGGTGGTATAATTGCGATATACAGCGGCCACTAACGTGGTCATTTCCGCTATTGCAAGGCTAGTCTGAGTAAGCAAGTAAGTCTAGTTAAATCGAGCAAGTGACTGTGTACTGCAACCAAAGGGAGGACAATGACGTACTGGAGCCTAATACACATTCTGCTTCGGCTGGAAAATGCCCAGAACCACCTGTTCATTTCGGGAATGTTCTGGGAGGGATCCATCCAACGATCGGGGTTGAACTGCATCGGATTCGGGAAGACTTTTGGGTTCCGATGTAGGATATACGGCGAGACAGGTACTGTAGTTCCTGCTGGGATATGATAGCCATCAATCACTGTGGCTGTGGGGGCTTCCCGTGGCTCAGAGGTTGGCAAGGGAGCATAGAGTCGCAGAGTTTCTTTGATGACAGCGTTTACATAAGGAAGTTTGTCACTGGTCTCGACGGTTGGAATGCCGTCTGGGTTGAGGCCTTCCTGGTATATGCTGCGGACTTCGTCGATGAGTTTCTTCTGGAACTTGCTGCTCTCGGGACGGGAGAGCGACCAGATGAGAAACATCAAGGTGTCGCTGGTGGTGTCGATGCCAGCAAGGAGGTGGTCGGCGCACTAGGAAGCGATATCAACGTCGTCCAGTCCACCAATAGTCTGTTGGGAGCAGTGATGCTTCCACAGCTTCGCGATGAACGGTAGAGTCTGCTCCACGCTCTCAGAGGGGTCGTAGGCCGCTGAACTTCGTGCAAATTCTTGGCATGCAATAATAGTGTGGCGCCGGATGCCTGTGTACGTGATTGGTAGCTGCATCGGATAAAAACAGCGGGCGACTCTTCCAAAAAGACTGGTGCTAGAATACAGCCATGCAGTGAAGCGTGGTAGGTGAACGGCGAACCAGGACAGTCTACGACACGTAACGTCCACTACATCATCGACTAACGCGCAGTCGGCTTCGGAGCCTTCCAAGCAGGACGTCTTCCCGTACTTCCCATATAAGAAGTCAGTGGTAACGTCTAAAGAAAAGTAGTGTAATGAGGCAAATATCTCGCTCGAGCCTTCCTGTCGTGCAATCAGATTTAGATACTGTCGGACCTTAGCTTCGATCATGGCTGCGTTGGCGCCTTTGAGCATGGCCGATTTGGCGTAGGCATTGGCAAACATCTTCTTACGCTCAGAGTGCTCGCGACCGGACAGAAGGAAAACATATTCTTGCGCCCATAGACATGGAACATGTTGTAGAAGCTGGTCCGCTCGAAACCGCTGCCAGCTCCATATATGGTTCGCAGGGCGGAAGTGCTGTTGAACGACACTTCACTAGGCCCGAGGCGCACGACGGGGCCGTACTTGTTGTGAAGTGCGTGAATGGTGCGTGTGCGTGTGCCTCGGAAGTCTTCTAATGCAAGTCGCCATCTTGTGAAGGCAAACGCTTTTGGACCTGGTATCTTTGCAAGAGGGCTTATAGAGAGAGGAAAGCAAAGGTGGTAGAGTAAGAATGCTAGACCAAGGGTGGCAGCGACAACAACTGCTATGGCCGTTGCCTAGCGATAAGAGAGCAGAAGAGTGCTATGATGAAGCGCGTTCAAAAATCTGAGACACGTGTATAGTGACGCTGCTGCTGTTGAGCCTGTACAATTAGCCCTAATAGTCCTCTTAAATAAGCGCATCTCGATCAATGCTTGTTTTGTGTGACTGTCGGGAGATAGTGATGGATTGGGGTTGGTTGGGAGGATGGTAGGATAGATAGTAGCGTGGTTGCCCGATTCTGGCTGGGGACGCCAAATCCGGCAACCGCCAGCGAGACTGGCGTCCGTGCTCATGTGCAGCCAGCGACGGCAGGCGCGTCAGTCAAGGCACCCCGGGCTGCTCGGCTTCGGCAGGCGTCTGCGAGGTCTTATTTCATATGACGTAGGTGTGGAAAGCGTATGCGAACTTCCTATCAGCGCCCTTCTGCGACTCTTCAGCGCGGCCTTTTCGACTACGTAAACATGCAGACCCGCATCGCCTTTGCGTTAGGCAGATACACGTACAAGATAAGAATTGAACTGAGCCGAATTGAGCTCAGTACTAATACGTATATAAAGATAACGACTCTTGTCAAAAATGACCACCATCCGTGCATCCCAGCTTTTGACCACTGTACGGCTTCCTTCTAGCTTGGCACCCTTATCCGGACTCAAAGTCGTCGTCTTACTCCCAAACACTGAACATGCGACTAAACGCCTGGACGTGTCTTCTGTCCACGGTGGCTGCTCTCAATGTTGGCCCAGACTACAGCCATCCTATTGAAGGTTTGTAGAGCCTACACGAAACAGACGGACGAATTGGATCCGTGTGCTAATCCGTTCGTAGACCTCGATGTTGATCTCCCCTTCTCTCAGCCAGTGACATTTGCCCATCTGGAATGGCAGCGCTGTCTTGCTGCATCTCATGACAAAGTACGTCGTTCATTTACTTGTGCGAAAAATCAGCCCCAGCGCTTAGCTCCTAATCTGGCCAAAAGCCCTTGGACATTGCAATATTAGGATTTCCGTATGATACATCGACGTCCTACAGGCCAGGTGCCCGCTTTGGTCCTCGAGGTATCCGAGCTGGTTCTGCAAGGGAAAAAAAGGGCAGAAGCTACAACACAGTCTGGGAAGTCGACCCTTACGAGGAGGGACTCGCCATTGTAAGTTGGAGCATCCAGCACACACAAGGGACCCTGTAATGAGTAACGCTCTTGCTCGGCCTGTTTACTCATAGAATCCACCTTATTAATATCTTGACTTCCAGGTCGATTGCGGCGATGTGCCTATTACCCCGTTCGATGCAGCTCATGCTTTCAAGCAGATGGAACAAGGCTACAGGCAGGTCTTGTACCATCTAACCTCTTCAACAAACTCATGGGAACATCCGCGCATAATCAGCTTGGGAGGTGACCATTCCATCGTCCTGCCTATTTTAAGGTCTCTCAAGACTGTATATGGACCTATATCGGTAATTCACTTGGATTCGCATCTGGATACGTGAGCAATGTCTTCCCTTTAGCTATTTGAAAGAAACAACGCTAACTGTATCGCATACAGATGGGATCCCTACGAAGGCTACACTGGTATCAGATCAAACCAGTCCGCCCTTACTCATGGTACTTTCTTTTGGCACGCTAGCCGGGAGGGCTGCATCAGCAAAGGGACCAGTGTGCATGGAGGCCTTCGAACCAAGCTATTTGTCAGTGCCGTCACTCCTCAATACTCCAACTCAGAGAACAGTTATACTAATCCCTACTCTCATCGTTGCAGAGCCCCAAGGATTACGAAATTGACAAAGATGTCGGCTTTGGTATTATCGAGGCACACGAGATCGATGACATTGGCATGAACGGTATCATCGAGAAGACACTTAGCTTCGTCAAAGACACCCCTACCTATCTTTCCATCGACATTGACGGTGAGATACCTCCTACCCCGTGCCACGTCTGCTGTTTTCTTTGTGCACCTGAAGACGCCAATATGCTGACTCGTTATAGTGCTGGATCCAAGCATCGCTCCAGCTACAGGCACTCCAGAATCTGGCGGATGGACTACGCGCGAACTCAAGCGGTTCATCAAAGGCCTTGAGGGCATCAATCTAGTTGGTGCTGACGTGGTAGAAGTGAGCCCACCGTATGACACCGCCGCCGAAATCACGTCGATTGCGGCTGCGGACCTGATCGTGGATATTATGGCGGCCATGGCCAAATCAAAGAAGGGGCCAGCGCTGTCGAGGGTAAAAGATGAGCTTTAGAATAACCGAAACCCTATTTTGGCATGCAACCGAGGCGTGATTGGCCATTGTTGTGACCAGAAGAATGAACAAGATAACCACAAGTCAGATAGGAGCAAATGAACTTCTGAATAAATGACTGTAGGAAACTTGAATCAAAAAGAACGTCAAAAGGCGAATTCCTATGAGATACAGGGCTATAAGAAGATATATAAACCTATGAAAAGCAACATACATCCAATGAACAAACCCGCTATATTCTCTGATGATCACTCCCTTGAGTGACTCTTACCTCTACTGCTCAGCTAGACCGGCAAGACCAGTCTCCCTATGCGCCGTAACGCATCTCTCCAACTATCCACATTCACATTCACATCCTTGACATGCCAGACCTCCTGAATAGCCCTCCACTGCCGTGAAAAGTTCCCAAGACCATACCCCTCGACCCGGGTCCACCACCTAACCCAGGGCTCGCGGTTCCTCGTCTCACACGTGGCGATAAACGCTGGCCACGACATAGGCGCGGTTCTCTTCACACCGCCCATGTATGCGTCCTTGAGGTCTTCCGCCGCCGTCAGGTTCTCCCAGACAGCGCTTGCCTCTGCCTCAACATCTAGATCGACAATGACGCCGTCACCATCGAGCACCGTGCGGCGGTAGTATATCAGCAACGCGCTATGGAACGCGCGGACCTGGCACCGCGCAATCTCAAGCATAGTGCGCTCCTGCCACTGGATAAGATGGAAAGGCTCCGTGTCAATGACCCAGGCCATAATGGCGTCGCCCAGTGCCTTGTACATTGCGCGAAGAGACGCAGGGGTCAGTGTACCGGCCTGCTGACGGTAGAAGGCGAGGTGTTCTGCGACCCGGCACGTTTTGTGCAACAGGTTAGCGAGTTCGGGGGTGATTCCGTATATGTACTCGATGCTTCTCTCATCGGGGTGAAAATATGGCGGGGTGGAGGCGGGAAGGTGGCCATCGGGTGGCCACAGTCGGGGAGAGATTTCGAGGCATGTTGTTTGTGCGAGGAGGGTGAGGAAGCGGCAGATGCTCGTGACTTGGTTGCTTGAGTCACCTCTGTTCATGCTGAGTGGTAGGCCTGACTGGCGTAGTCGGCGGCATGCTTGGAGGTGGATTGGGAAGTCGGAGTCTTCTCCAGTCATGGTCTGTAGGGAAAAGGAGGGCTTTTGTCAGAGAAAGGGGGCTCGCCGAATGTGGACTGATGGGAGATGCGTACATCAATTGTGACTAGTGACAGTATTGCTGTTAAGTGCAAGGTGTACAGCTGCGGGTCACCGGGTCTGACAGTCGCAGAGTTCAGGGCACGCAGCGCCTTGATTCGGTGTTGAAGCCCCAGCTGATGAAATTTAGGTGAACTATCAGTGGCGTTGCGCAGGTGAAACGCGGCAGCCGATAGCAAACTGTGGAATAGTGAGGTTGATATTTGCGATGAGACGGTTGCGTTTTGTTGGTAAAGAACAAGCTCTGGACATCCTGATAGGGCAAAAGGGAAATATGTAGTCCTCCAAGGGTTTCGTGAGTGCAGAACCGGTTGTAGCAATTCGGCTACATGATTCATATAATGGAACATGAGCATGGATGTTTCCTGGTTTCTGAAAATGGGCATTGAAAGAGTAAAGAAGGGAGCAGCCAAATGGTGCGCCTTTGATTTACCTGATGTTGCCAACAGAGTGGTCTGGGATGTGCAAACTCGGCCCCTACCATTCTTCAGTGCTGCACAGGGCTGAGTTCGTTGCTGCGAGAAGTCACTCTGGAGATCTTCCTGAGCTGTTGTACTTTTTAGGGTTGGAAGCTCTGAAGTCGAGAGGCCCCAATCGGTGCAGTCGGGGCTCTGTGCAACTGTATCCCACCCATTGTCGGGCTGTCCACAGGAAGTTCCGCCTTCATGAATGCTCTCAGCTGGTTCTGAGGATGGCGCCGGGCTTTCGGAAGTCCCTTGAGTAGGGTCATTGCAATTGGACTGGAAGACGCCAAAAGGCCCAATGAGAACAGTGTCTAATGGTGTCATGACGGAATTGATGGCTGACAGTTTCCTCATTGTTTCACGGTCCGACATAACCGGTAATGCTGGCCCACCTAGTAATAAATTAACTATGTTCGGAAGGTAACTGTCTAGGCCCGCTGAGAAAACCAGTGTTGGAGACTGACCTGTATTGACCTTTCGCCGGTGCAAGCCTTGCAGGTCCTGCACCCGACCCGTCACCCACGACAAGTTTACACTGTAGCCAGCGCACTTCAAACCAGCCTTTTCACACACTGCACACCCGTTGTTCTGCCGCTCGTCACATTTTATTTTGCGAGATCGGCAGGTCCAGCAGCTGCAGACTGTTAGCGAGATTCACGGCTGCGGAACACCCTGCAAAGGCTCTAGGGTAGGCTCTATTCGTACCCAGTGAATGTCACACACTTGGACTTGGACGGCCGTGCACGAACAGGATTCGACCTGGTCTTCATCACAGATGTGCCGCGGGCTGATTAGCTGCGGGTCTTTGCATTCTAGAAGTGACGAGAAGTCTACTCGGGCTATGTGGGATCGGATAATCCGCCCATGTGTTGGATGATGGTCATCCAGAAATATCGGATGGTGGCATGTGAAGTAAGTAGGTGGAGAAATCCAAGGCGCATCTGGGCTGTTACTCACACCATCTAGTGTAAATTTCGGAGTCTGATGATTGGTGGGAAGCACAACTTACAGAAAATAATGGGGTGGGGTAGTCGAAACCAGCCCAGATTCGCTATCTTATCGCGGTGGCCTATGACAGAGAAAAGTGGGCCTCCCATCTTGGAAGGCGCCAGCGAGCAAGTCCTTATTCTCCAAATGATGCTGATGATAGTAAATAGTTATTTTGGTGACTACAAATTCATTTGGTGGCAACATGGGAACCACTGCGGAGATAACCTCACCACCTGACAAGCTCTTCCGCATCGGCTAAAACGAACATCCAGTCCGTGTGAAGGGCACTGAATGCCTTATCTCTGTCATACCTGCAAGAGTACTCCGATTCGTACGCTTCAAGGGCCCGTCAAGATTCGCAAGGCAGTGCCAGCACAAACTTTCGGGCCACTGACGTTATCTATCGCGAGAATACTTTGTCGACGACTAGAACGCGAATTTCCTATGATGGGCTCGCTAGCGCCTTCCGAAATCGATTTACTGGGGTATCCCATAGCTCGTGGCGTCAACCTCATTTGACTGGCTCTCTGGCACCTTCCTTGTAAATACATTTGCTTCTCTTCTTGATTAGAATACTGTCTCTCTTGTGAGTCAGTACATAAGCCCTAGAATTTCATCGAATTGGCACCTGCTATGGTATACCCAGGATCTCGCTACCTATGCCCAATACTCGACTCAAACTGTGGAGCTATCCTTCATTGGACACTTGAAGGTAATAGTCGTCAAGCGATGCCTTCGTTTCTCTCAAGTCAGCGTATCCTTCTTTCAGGGTCCTCCAACTCTCGTAAGAAGGCTTTAAAGGTTGAATTGACGAATGAGTACTTCATCTCATAGTCTCTAGCTGGATAGATACGAGTTTCTAACTGGCCTCTATAGAGGCATGCAGCAGCTTTCAAGTTGTGCACCTAGACAATTGTAGCTCCGGCGATAACTCGACAGAAATAACTTGTCAGATCGATGATGCTGCTCAGATCAATCAGAGAAGAGCCCTATCATAGATCAAGTCCATCCTCCAAAGTCAGTTCAAGAGATCAAAAGATGGCAATTCGATTGGCATCTTTTCTATGGTCGTTCTCGGCTACAAGGCTTCCTTTGAGAAATCCCTCGATGCTGTTCTTTCAAAGTTACAGCGGGATGTTGCATGGTTTAATGGCGACGCTTCTGTCAATTTCCTCGACGTTGAGACTTCAGGTGGTGATGCTACCGACCTATCTATCATTTCTGCAATTAAAATATTAGCATCTAGCAGCTCGCGTGGTTCTGTTACCTCGCTCAATGATATTTGGACCCTTTGCAACTTACAGTCTGACGACTTGAAGTCACCATCTCACGACACAAACATCCCACAATCTCAAACACAACTTAGTATACGCTCACATCTTAGAGCAAAGAAACCAAAAGTCAAGATTGCGCTTTCGTTTGATTACGACGCGTTATCAGCTTTTCTAGGCACAAGAGAACATCCGGACAATAACCTCGCAGACTATAGCATTGGTGTCTTCTCCAGGCGCGTTGGCGGCCGCCGGCTACTACGTATATTGAAGAAATATCAAATTGCAGACAAGGTCACATGGTTCATACCCGGCCACACTATGGAGACCTTCGAAGCTACAATCAAAGAGATCGTCCAATCCGGCGCAGAGATTGGACTCCACGGCTACGCCCACGAAGGCGCCTATCAGATGATGCCGGAACAAGAGCGCAACGTCTTGGCGAAGTGCATGCAAGTATCGGAGCGTGTGACCAGTAGAAAGGTACAAGGGTACCGCGCTCCCATGTACCAGCTGCGCGAAACGACGATCGAGCTCCTCAAAGAATCTGGGTTCCTGTACGACTCGTCCTTGAGCCACCACAACTCTCAACCCTACTTCACGCCCAACAATCCACCCGTCGAGTGCATCGACTTCTCCAAACCGGCGAGCAGCTGGTTAAAGCCGAGGCCGATAAGCGACATGGACGTAGTACTGCCCGTAGCATTGCACTCACCCGTAACTGGCCTACCTCTTGTCGAAATTCCTATTGGCTAGAACAGTGAAGATATGATGGGACTACATCATTTCCCACACGTTGCTAACACTAATGGACAAGTCGATGCTTGCGTTATTGAGCAGCGCTGGAAGAACACTTTTCTGTGGTTGTGCGAGAACAGCGAGGCCGAGTCTGATGACGGTAGCTTCATTTTCCCGCTTCTCATGCACCCGGACTCCAGCGGACTGGCACACGCCATGACCATGGCGGATCGTTTCATCGGCTGGCTGCGAAGCTTGGGAGGTTCAGTTGAGCCTCATACGTATGAGAGCATAGCGCACGACGTTCTTCGTAAGAAGGGCGTTAATAATGACAACATTTCCAAGTAGAGGCTAGAAGTAATTTAATATAGAATTCTACCATGAGGTCTTGTGAATAGCTCTTAAACCTTTTCATTTCTGTCTTGGTTTTTTATCAATAGTGACTGTCCCCTAAACAATCTTCGATGATTCCCATAGATTGTCCGATTATAAAGATGTGTGGTAACAAGAAACACAAGACGTGTGTTACATGAAAAGAAAGATCAGGGCTTTACTAATAAAAAAATCAATAATTAAATCAAAATAGGAAAGTCAGTCCATTCTAGTCTCGGAGATTATGAGAGTGGGTATGACGTATTGAAGGAGGAGTAGAAGGCATATAGATGCACATGAAGAACAAATAAGAGCCTACGGAAACCTGATGCGGAAACTTGAGTTGACCAGCTGTTGCATAGAACTGTAAACCAAATCTCTATATTAGATTAAATGCTAGCGAAACAAAATGTAAGGATGAAAAATGAGAAAGAAAAAGGCAGGGAATAAGGGAGAGGAAATTAGTTATGAATATTTAATTTCAAACCTAAGAGAAACAGTTGTTTAGGCTTTAGTTTGTATAACTACTAAGTGATATACTGCTCTTTCTACCTCCCAACACTAGTAGTGTCTTAACTCTACTTGAACTTCAGCAACTAGCTCCGCTAGAAACGTACGCCATTCATGTTACCCGCACAAATATTATCTCACTGTCTTGCTTTACCAATGATCTCAAAGCTCCCTGGCCATTCAAACCATGACGCCTAGTAATGGCGGCATTTGCCGTCCATCTGAGTCATTGCGTAATAAACATCGTATCCGTTGCAATTGCCACATTTTCCAATCAGGTCATGAGCGACTAGATGCTACAACTGGAGTGGTGTGCGAAGTTGGTGATGTCTACTGCGGTATTTATTCTACATGCTGTTATTGCCTTGATTATGCGAGCTATCATACATAGTAGGCGGAAGAGATAATGGTGTTAGCAAGCCATTCAGAGTATCTAGTCGCCATTAGCTACACCATGAATCACTGTAAACTCCAACACTATAAAGGCAACATAGGCGATCAGCATTCCAAATCCAATCCACTGACAAAATTTTCCGCCAAACCAGACCGTCAGAGTAAATGCAAGTGTTGAGCCCCACAACACCCCTAATTCAGGAATGCTCACGTTGCCGTGTTCAAGCTTCCCCGAAGTATCGATCATAATGATTCCAGAGCACAATGCAAGCAGGAATATATTACTGCCAGCTGTATTCGCGACGAGAATGCCAACATGACCTCGATGCCCGCTCATCACAGCGACGAACTTTTCGGGTAGTGTTGTAGCTATTGCGAGAACCACAACACCAAAAAGCACATCTGACATGCCGAATTCATCGGTAATGGCGGTGGCAGCGTGAGAAAGTACGTAACCTGCGAGGCAAATGGCTAGGAAACCAAGCAAGAGATAAAATAGGTGATAACGTAGAGTTCGGTCCTTTCGGTGGCTTGGTCCTGATGACTTTTGTGTTGTACTACTGCCAGTGTGTACAACTAGGCTCGTTTGTTCGTCGCCCCCAGCACGATTTGGTGGCCTCTCCGCCACAACATCAACTGCGCTTTCTCCGTCGCTGCTCTCATCATCGCTGCTATCGTCGGAGTCCTCTGGAGAAGTGAGAGTTCCTTTACTGATTGCCCACCCCACAGACCCAATATAGATGGCGAAGAATACGATTAAGATAGAGCCGCAAACCAACCATATTATCTTTCTTGAAAAATATGTAATCGGTGTCACAAAGGTCGTCAGGACGAGTAGGACGAGTGAGTATAGGCGTGAGCTTCGGTCGAACACAATCGGATCCTTCTTGTCGTGAAATAAGAGACCCAGGGAGAAGGCTCCTAAGATATTCGAAATTGCAGAACCAACAATGTTACCGATAGCCAAAGAGGCACGATTGTGCGCGAGGGATGCAATGACAACAGCGAGCTATAACATCAGATATCATTAGTGCACTAGCGGAGAAGACTAAGGACGGCTGCGAGCATACCTCTTCCCATTCTCCTCCAGCAGTAAGAAGCCCGATGATCGTCTCCGATATTCGGGTGCGGCGAGCGACGACGGCGGTATGATCAATAAATTTATCTGCACCAAATTCTAGGAGGAAAAGTGTAGCAATGAACACTGCAATGTTGTATGCAACAACATCAGCGTTAGCCATTGTCGGCCTGTTGTAAGTAGAGGTGCGCTGTAGGATTGGGTAGTGTATAATTGCGCGGCAGTGAAACATTGAAATATGTGTTCCCTTCTATAGGTTATGCGCAGACACCTTTTACTGGTTCATGGTGGCGGGTTGCTCGCTCTATGACATGTTCTCTATGACGATCAATGTTCGAAGTGGTTGGCGCGCCGCAAAACGCAGAGCATGAGCGCTAGTGGCTGGTTTACGTCATGTTTGACCGAAGGTACTGTCCAGTCAAGCATCACCGCCCTCTTAGCATGTTTTAATCAAACACTTGACCGTTCTTAGCTTATGTGTTTTCATTAGTGATCTATGTTAATTCCCACCCACGGAGTCATCACCGCCATCGCAGTCGTTCCATCTCGGCGCACAACAAAGGCCGGGTGACGCCTTCACTTGCCCATGAGGAGAATGTGTTCGAGAAAATCCGTTTGTTCAATCGCTGCACACTCATAATAGGCTTTGCTAGGGCACAGAGTCCTTAGGGTTGCTTAAGACATTAAATCTCCAAAGCACTCTTTCTCGTTCTCCCTGAACGCAACAAATTCTTACGCTATTCAAGATGGCTCATGGCAGGTTGACCACCAGTCATATGAACTAAAAGCAGGAGGCGATGCAAAAATGTGTTTGTGTGTAAGCTGTAGATACCGTTGGACATGTTGTTGATTCCAGAGCAGCTTCTCGGGATCAACGAAGAGCTGGTGGCAAAGGTGTAAGTTATGACGGATTTGGCGAATCAAGTAACGCCCCTGCTACGCAAAACACTCTTATTGCACGGATATCGAAGAAAAAATATATGTTGCTCGATGGATAGTGGGGTTGTCTTGTGAACCGAAGAGGTGTAACTGTGGTAGGTGCTGAGCTCTTGTTTCCTTGTTCCCCGTAAAAGATCCCACTATCGGTGAGACAGGAATGATATTACATCTGGTTCAGAACGAAATTAACTATTCTCTACTCCACGAACAACAGGCTTATGTGTTTCATCGACTCCAAGCCACATAAGGTCTGGCCTGCTATAATGCCCAGAGGCATCTACAAATGTCTTGGCCTTCGTCACCAAGCTCAGATCCAGGTCTGCAATAATGAGCTTCTCATTAGGGCTATCTATCTTGCTCAGGATGCGTCCATCAGGACCGATGACGCAGGAACTTCCTTGGTTAGGATGTCCCATGATTGGTGCACCGGCGGTTTCCATCATCTGAATGGCAGCTTCAGAGATGACAGTAGTACAGTGAAGTACAAAGGCTTGAGACTCGATTGCATAGGACTGTGAGATATTTCGGCAGCCTACAATCAACATCAGCTCTGTAGCTCACTCGAAAAATCGAATGCTACTGCTCACCTTCGATAGACATGGAGTAGAATCCAGAACTACCTTCTATAAACCCGGCGACGGCTGGCCATGCTCCTACATGGATCTGCTCACTTTGTGTGAAGGTGTAATACTTCAACAAAGGTTGAATATGCTCCCAGCACGAGAGGCCACCTACCCGACCGACTCCAGGTAAGTCGACGACCTTGGACAGGCATGATTTCCCGCCTGTGGCATCTCCGAAAATCGTGCGCTCCATGTGCGTCGGTTTCATCTTGCGACGGGTCATCTTGATCTCACCATACTCGCTGATCAAAGCCTGCGCGATGTACACAGAATCGCCGTCGCGCTCAGAGAAACCCAGGGACACGTTGATCTTGTTCTCGGCAGCGGCAGCACAGATACGCTTCATTTCCTCACTATCTGTCTTCAAAGAGTTCTGCACGTATTTCGTTCCCAGATCAAAATCGACTGGGCGGCTCCAGATCCAAGCAGGATATCCAGGAATCCAGCACTCTGGAAAGGCAACGAGTTTGGCTTCGGCTTCGGCAGCTTCTTTGATGATGGTTATTGTCTTTTGAACAGTGGCTTCCAGATCGAGCCACATAGGTTCGTGCTGCGTGATCTGTCCTCATTCAATGTGTTGACATTATTAGCGACTCGGACATACTGACCGCAACGCGAACAGTTGGATGCACTCTATCGCCCATTGCATCAAGTCTCTGCTCTTGTATGTAAAAGGAAGTCCTTTGGCGAAATATCCTCAAGCTGACACTTATTTACGAATCCACTAGCGATCCGCCCATGTCTTTGCTGTGTAAAGCTATCAGGCAGGCCCGTTTAGTCAGCTTGCGGGCGAATTCCGTTCCTAGCGGGGTAAGTACGTAGGACAACGATTGACCCCACCTCACGGCTGTACTCTGCAGCTTCTTCAAATTAGATTGCTTCAATATTTAAATACCAAACTTGGTATTTACCGTGACACCAACAATGATAAGGCCTCCACGAACAGGGATTGCCATTGGTACAAAGCAGGGTCTTGATCCAGTCCTTCTACTCTTAGCTTATGGATGTTTGCGTAGCGTGGGGGATAGCAGCGCTTTCTGCCCGTAACCTGAGACAAGAGCCAAGGCCTAAGTACTGTACCTAAGACGGAAAAGGTGATGCCGGAAATGATTCCGCATGAGTGAATGAGTTGCAGCTACAGTCATGACCGTCTTACCAAGAGCTTCCAACCAGACGCAAATAAAACGCGTGCACGAGCGGTAGCCAGTAAATATCCAAGTCAAATAGTCATGACAGAAGCACGTGCATTGGAACATGCGATTCCATCGCACCTACAGACCGAACGCACGATCCCCGTAAAGACGCCAGATGGATTCGTGCCGCCCTTTCCATCATATACTGCTAGATTCCCGAAGGAAGCGAAAGATCTCGTAATGGCCATCATTGGAATTCAGCACGAAGACAGCGCCAATCTCCAAGGGCCTGCATACCAAAAGCTAGTCTCATTCGTCGAGCAGGAGTCCGAGAAGTCCAAGCCCAAGTACTGGGAAGCCGCGGCAGCCATCGACAATCGAGGTTTTCGCAATGAAGTAGTAATTCCGTACTGGCAGACAAAGGCCGACTTCGAGAAATGGAGGAGCGACAGCGGCTTCGATGCATGGTGGGCCAACCTGCGAGCAGGGTCGGAACGAGGGTGGTTTATGGAAGTATTCTTCCCAACCCTTGACCGATTCGAGACTGTCTTCTCCGACAATGTAGTGCCAGACGGCGCAGCTCATATGCGCTCCTCAGTGTCAGGCGAGATGCAACAACACTTCTATTGGGGTTCGATGCGTGACAGACTCGCAGCGGCGCAGACTGATCACCTGATTGGTGAGCGCGCTTTCCCCAAGTCGTCTACGGAACGAGTCGAGAAAGGCGACACAAGAAAGCAGCGCATCACAGTGCCAGGCAGAAAGAACCTCGCTGTCATTAGGAGTGGTCAAGACTGGTCCAATACCAATCCGAGTGAACGCAAACGCTACCTCGAGACCATGCACCCTGTGCTCACCAAAGGCATGGAATTTTTGAGAGACGAGGGCGAAGAGATCGGCTGCATCAGCAACCGCTTCATGGAATGTATGCACAAGACTTCGCCTGAGCAGAACACTGAGCGCACTTTTGGCCTTTCATATTTTGACGATCTCAAGTCGCTCGAAGGCTGGAGCAAACATCACAAAACACATCTCGACATCTTTGGTCGATTCCTCCAGTACGCGTCAGAATTGCAAAGCAACGTATCACTGCGGTTGTTTCATGAAGTAATGGTCCTCGAGCCTGAACAGCAGTTTTTCGAGTATATCGGTTGCCATGACACTACGGGAATGCTGGCTTCTGTGTAGAAAAAATCTTTTCAACTAGCATCTTGGTTCCAGTGCTTTTGTCCTTCCGAAACATGAGGCCGCCTTATTATTCGTTCTCCGTCCTAGCAGCCGCGAGTTGGATCTGCTGCATTGCGTGCATGTCTCGAAATCGGCCTAGTTCCGCTCCTTGATTTTGCCATCATCTAACGTGCTTGTTTGCTGATACTTTCTCGGTGCACAATGTTCAATACGACAGCTCATCCTCGGAGTGAAGCACCTAGTCTCCTCTTTCCCCATCTGCTCTGATCCCCATATCTCCTCTAAGTCCCACTTGTCTACGTCATGAAAGCGTAGTAAAGCGATGCAACAACAGTCATCCCAATAACTGTCCAGCCTGTTCTAATAACATATTGACTCTTGAACCCAACACCAGCATCCCATATCAAATATCTTAGTCCATTGAAACCGTGAAAGAAGAATGGAAATGCAAGGAAAGCCTTCACACTCATCTTGATAGCAGTGGGCCACGCAGCGACTGCTGCAACCATGGATGTAGTGTCCATGTGCCATCCAGTATAAAGTGCGACAAGGTAAGCGGTTCCGAAGAGATAGAGGGAACCGGACAGAGTAAGACCTGTGATACGTTGTAGGGTCGAGGTAACTGAATTGATTTGTGGCTTGTAGATAGATAAGTTGGGTGAAACGGGACGTCGTATACGTTGTTCAGCGATTATTCTGGCCGCTTGGTCTTGTGATATGAGTCTACTTGATCTTTGTTAGCAAAGGGTATGATGAGTATGAGGGAGAGCTTCAGTTGAGCTGCTATGACGTACCTCCGCTGGACTAGATAGCCCGTAAGCTGCACCCTTAAGCCAGGTGCCCCAACTCGACGAAGACCAAGCTGAAATACCCGCTGGAAATTCATTAGAATAGTTTGATGTCTCTATCAATTGATGGTATTGTGCAGTGAGGTAGTGATGTATTGGTGATATCGCAGTGAATTGTTCAATCGCACGAATTTAAATGTTCTGAGTTGCCGAAAACTTGGCTTGCCCGCCAGTGCTATCGTTCTGAATCCCATCACAATCATGACATAGCAGAAGTATTGTGGCGTAGTTCCATGGCAAAGAAATCGATATATGTATTGTCGTAGCCTAACAAGGCCCTCATGTAACCGATAAGACCAGAAAATAGTGGCTTCTCCAAGCAGCGCAAGACAATCCAACAACCTTACTAAATTGCTACCTAGTTCCTTGGTAGTATACTATAGTTCTATTAGATACGAATTAGTATTTAAAAATGTGTATGTTGCGATAAACGTATCAGTTGTTGTTGATAGCTAGTTTAGGTACGAAGTAGCAGCTGCTTATTTGATCTTTCGGTTATACCGGTTGTATGAGAGCAAGGCTGCAGAAGCAATGACTTCGGCTAAGCTGAAGCAATAAGCCACTGCAACGGCGACAAAGACGCCCTGCCTTGATGAGAAAAGGCAATAGCTTTGCATCACAGATAAATGCAGATGATAGATAGCAGAAACAATCAACACAACAATTTCGCGCACCTCCGCGTGCAACAGTTAGTCACGTGATCGCAGTGCAGTAGGCGGCTAGGGCCCACTCGCTCTTACTATTTTCCGCCAACATAAACGTGAGCCACTCTTCACTTGGTGCGATGCATCTCTATTTTTCTGCGACATGGCTAGGCTACTGCTAGCTCACCGCATTTGTATACAGAGACTGTAAGACGACAACTCAGCTCGACTACGCCACAAGGCCCGAAAAGGTATAGTTTACTGCATGGCAGTATTCGGAGCTGAATAGTATATTTACATATGACAGAGACACTGGTGGTTTTTACTTAAATCTACTACTGCAGCTTACTGTGTAAGATATTCATTAACTAACCATAAGTATGACACAGCCCCTCTGGAGCTGAGATCGCGGCGCGACTGTTAGCCTCCGAATAGGCCCGAAATGGGAATAAGCATATAGAAGCACAGCCACGGCCTGTAAAGCGAGTGGGTCTGGCAGAGGCCGCAGCGTCTCAAATGCGTCTGCTGCAGCCAATGAAAATCCCCCCTAGTGACTCAATTCTATTCATGAAACTTGACCCTCTCAGCCTCGACGGTGTACACAGCAGACAGGTCTTTGAGCCAAGCATAAAAGCGCAGCGTTGATAAATTCCATGCAGTACGGTGTGTCCAAGCACACCATACATTGACACCTTTATTTCCTCCAACTTGCCTTTTAAGAGAAAATCGAAAAAAAAGTAATGGCGCACTGCAATGACCTTCACCCACAGCCTTTCTCGATCCGAATCGAGTCATCCAAAAGTTTTTCACACCCACTACCCGGTCTTCCGCCAACTACCACACCCCGGACAGATCTCTTTGATACACCCTTTCCCTTTCTCTCGCTCCCCCGCGAACTGCGTGATTTGATTTATAGTCATACCTTGCACGACCGCGGGATCCACTATCGCGACCGCATAAAAGCTGCGACGCGATGGAGCCAGCAGCGAACACTCGCGTCCCACCTTAACCTGCTCCTCACAAGCCGCCAAATCCACATAGAGGCCCTATCCGTACTTTTTCGCACACGAACAGTCGAGATTTCTCCACGCAAACTCCACCGGACGCGGAAACAATCAAATCAGCTCTCACTCTCGCATGTACTATGCTCATTCCCGCTCGCGCCCGCGCGCCTGATGACGCGTGTTCAGATTGTGTACCATGAGTATTCTATTTACGCCCCTTCAAAATATAACACGTACCCTTTCCCACCGGCCAACGACGGAGAACTCATGTTCATCATGTGGGAGCACATAGTCCGTGATGCGTGGACGTTGAAGGAACATTTTCCCCATTTGAAGAGATTTGAAGCCTGGTCTCGCATGCTGAAGCAGAAAATGGGGCCTGCATTTTTCGCCGAACAACATGATTGTCATACCCTTGACGAGTCGGAGCGGCGCCAGAGAGTGAATCAAGTAGCAGCCAAGCTAGTGAGCTGGCTAGAACAAGAGCTAGGCGGGACGGAGCTTGTTCCACCTCAGTGGTTAAGGATAATTTTTAGCGAGGAACCACAGCCTAGCACCTCGCGTATAATATTCTGGAGAGGTCAGCCCGAGGTGCCTGACCAGTCGAATGAGTCATTTCTACGGTTTCAGCACGAGGTACTTGAGCACACGCATCTGTTGCTTGCGAAGAAGAGAGAGTTGACGCACGAGGAGAGAGAGGCGAGTGGAAGGATATGGTTAGAGGAGTGTAGTATGAAGAGAAAGCGGGGACGGACGGGCTGGTGTGAGGAGGTTGATACCAGCACACCTTGATCCCAAGAATGATTAGAGAGACATCCAATTCTACTAATGTTAAATTTTCTCTTCTTGATCACCGCAACTAGATTACTGTAATAGATCATCTCCCCCAAGTAGATATCTTGGGCTCGCATGATAAACACCCGTACACTACTACCTTAGACCGTCCTAACGATATTTCTTCTTGTATATATGGTTCTAGCTCTAAGGATGTACTACTCCTAATTTTAAGGACGTACTACTCTCCCAGACACCAACTCCTTTGTCGTATCTGGTGCACAGAGATTCCCTATTCCAACCTGTGCATATATCTCCTTCCGACCATCAGGCATGTTGATATCATAGTCCGTAATGAACTTGATGAGTGGCATCTTGATTTCACTAGCAGCAAAGAAACGCCCAGGACAAGCATGTTTTCCATAACCCCAAGCGAGACTATCTTCATGGGAGGAAACAAATCGAGCTCGTGCTTGCTCGGCCGGTCTACTCGCATTGATCCACTGTTTGTAATACCGGAAGCCATTAAATTCATCGGCGTTAGTATTCAGATCCCAGCCAGGAAACACTTGAAAAGAAGGAACTTTGACAGAGCCACCAGAGGGTTTTTTTTGGCTATTGGAGAGGATGATGGGCTTTAGGACACTACGAGCGAAAACACCTAGGACGCATATTAGCAGATTAAGACGCGTAATGCAAATGGAAAATCTACTGAGTCATCGTGAATAGCAGCGATTAACTTCCCTCATGTACGAATCTAGCTTGACCATCTGTTGGAGGGCTTTGGGCGTCGGCACCCCGCCATTTTCAGCTAGAACATTACTAATTTCCTCGCGTAGCGCGAGCATATATTCCGGTGCTGCAGGCAGTGTATAGAGTATGTTTGTAGTTACCATCGTGATAGTGTGGATAGCGGCGAAGGTAAGCAATAGCTGCTGTTTCGTGACATAATGAAGGGTTTCCATAGCGTTCGAGGATATAGAGCGCGTCAGTATCCACTGCAACATGTCATCTGGCTTTTGCCACGCCGAGTCAGATTGCTCGGCCTCTTGTTTTTGACGAATTATAGGCTCCACGCAGTCCTTCATCTTGCGATCTATACCCCGTAATCATTGGCTCTCGGGAAGTCGGGGAGCAAGCATAGGCCGTAGCCAAGGACGCAGTCTTCTAACCATATTAGTAACATGCATCACCTCATGTGTGTAGTTGACTGCACATTCAAGGTAGGTTGGATCCCGGCCAATCCCTGGTCCGACGAAGATGCGGCCAGATACTTAAGTGACAATGCTGGCCAGGATCTCGTAGAGCTGGACTCGAGTTGGGTTTTCGCAACGGGGGAAATAGTGCTCCGTGGAAATCTCGATCTCCTCACAGACTTCATCATTCATGCGTGCTTGATTTGATTTAGCGATTGCTTTGGTTGTATCAGGGTAACCCGAACTCACCTAATGTAGAGGTAAGATCAGTCGGTATGGAATGAGCAAGGAATCTAAGATTATGCTCGCTTTTCGTGTACTTAGACTCCATAGTTTATACACCGTCAGCAGCCATAACAATAGTTAGTAGGGAATTGACTCTAACCTGCTCGGTCATCTTGTAAGGGCTTAGAACATCTTGCCCAAGTTTCCGTAGCTCGGGCAGAAAGCTCGCTTGTAAAACCACAACGTCATTTTCGTAAAGCGATGCAATACGATAGACCGTGTTTTTGAACTGATATTCATGAACCATTGAGTGTATAAAGAGTTGGGTATGCTAGCCTTGTTAAATCTATTGAAGTAAACTTTCTTCGCAGATGTCATGTAAAACTGGCCTTGCTTCTCAGTAGTGCTGTCATCGAACATGGGCAACTTTCACAGTTTCACTCTGTAGATGAGTTTGGGGATATACGAAATTATTGCAAGCACCAGAGAAGTGAATACAAATGTTTGCATCGTATGTGCTAGAAATGCAGAAATGCAGAAGCTCCACATTAGAAAAGATGTACGTTGGAAGTTATGCAGACGGAGATCAGTGACAATACAATGATTTTATACCTTTGTTGGGTGAATGTAACAAGCTAGTTTGAGGGTCGAACGCCGGATATTGCAAGCTTTCGTTGGAAAGTTCTTGTCTCAATGCTTCTTACTATACCTATGTTCCTATACTCAGGGTGGGGCTTGATCGTATAGGAGACAGTGCTCACAGAAGGTTGTATGTTCCGAGTACTAAGCTCAGTACTAGTAAGAGGTCGTTGCGGAAGCATCCGGTGCCGAAGCTAACTGCCGATGGGCTAAGACGTCAGATCATGCTAGGCTAGTGTACGTAGTCTACTCGCCAAGCCCCTATGCACCTAGATACCCTGATTCTCACCTATCGAAGAACGCGCTGTACGAGGAATATTATGTCTGAGGAATACCCTGTATACGCGGCAGAACTGTGGACCACGCTCTCCTGGTCGATCTGCAGCGGAGTAGAGGATACTGAGCTGAAAACACAAATCCATTGAGTGAGAGACTGACAAAATGAATGAGAGACGATTCTCCTGGGGATCGATTGGGAATCTAAAGGTAGTGCTTTTTATCAACTCTGGCAGTCGTAGTGACGCATAAGAACGATGTTTATTGTAGTACACTTTACTTTAGGCTGATGGTGTGTCTCGGCGGAGGAGTGCTTATTGCAATCGGGTAACACGTTTCACGAGGTAGCGTAGTATGCGCAGCAACGGCATTTTGTACCGGATCATCCGAATGGGGTTTAATAGACCGCAGCAAGGTTTGTTTTAGTTTCGATGGACATTCAAAATAAAAAGAGCATCACATTCCTATCTACGTTTCTGTCAAGGAATCTCACACCACGTTGCCGGATTTATTTTCCTTTCCATGCTCCCATTATCTCCTTCATTGATGCCAGCTTGATCTCCGGGAAAAGTTCATTCAAATTTTGCTCCTTTGGCGGCTTCAGATCGAAACTTCCATTCTCCATGAAGAGGCCGAACCCGGCAAGGACACCCTGGAGCTGTTCTTTAGGGAAGAACGGGTACATGGGTGTATGAGAAGGAAGTTCAGTGGTCTGTCCCTTCCTCAGTGTTTCCACTGAATCATATTTGACATCAAACTTAACACCCTTGATATCCTGCGCAATCTGGAGAACTTCGTTCCATGTTAGTTTGTCGCCGATGATGTAGGATTCCTTGCTCCACTTTGGCAGAGTTAAAAGAGCAACAACCATGCGTCCAATATCATGAGTGTAAGTAAAAGCCACAGGCACGTCGCCTGAACCTGGAATGGCAGCCGCGTTATTGGCCATGTCGATAACGATAGCGAGAGGGCTGATATGTGATTTTACGTGTGGCTGACCGTAGTAATCCATGAACAAACCATTAATCACTACTGTGTACTCGAGGGAGGTGGACTCGAGAGCACCCAAGACAGTAAGCTTGTTGGTACTCATAGGTAAAATGGCACAGAGTCTGATTGAAGTTAGCTTACGTAATGCCCATCTTAGCATGCCTATAGGCTAATAACCTACTCAGGTGTGTATTCCACTCCCCACAAGCTGGGGATGTAGCGCTTCGTTGTTTTCGATTGATTTGCAGCGGTAAGCAAGGCTAGTTCGGGTTCGTTGCTGATCGTCATATTCAATGTTGAGATCACAGTGTCGACCTTGTTTTCTTCAAGCGCGGTGACAATTGAACTGGTGTTGTTGTAATCAACGGCAACTATGCGGGCACCGACTTCCTTGGCCTTTAATTCATCGTTCTGCCAGTATTTATCAGCCTCCGTTACTTTAGTAACACATTAATAGTATCACCTTTCGAGAGAAGATGATCACCTCTTGGCCTCCACGTTTGAGAATTTCCTCGACGATTGTGCGACCAAGCTGGCCAGTCCCTCCAGCAACTGCTACGATGCCCATTTTAATATGTAGGTGCTAGGGAAAAGTTCGTAGTGAACAGATATCGTGTATGGAGGAGGGAAAAGATCGTTTAATCCACAGATGAAGATTCTTGAACCTGTACCCACCAAACCAAAAAGAAGACATTTTATAAGGTTATTGCGGATTTATTGTTATTGAGAAAACACTCACAAGTATAGTATTACAAATCTTCGCGCTTATCATAGACCGAACAAGCCAAGCCGGAAGTCGACCGTATCCGCGTTCCGGAGCTTAACAACCAGTTTCGCCAGTTCCGAACAACAATGTAGAAGTAATCAGTTTTCATGTTGATTTCGTTAGCAATATTTGTACTACCTTCTGTTGGAATAAAGAAGTAGAGATCGCTTACGCTCCAGTACAAGCGGGAACCTCCACCTATTACTGCAGCGAAGACTCAAATAAGGCATTCCATGCCGTCATGAACATCAACTGTTGCCATCAAGATGTCATTTATACTAGCGGCGGTGATGCATGCAAATTGTTATCTCAATTTAGGGTGACGCGAACTGAGTTGAAGTGTACTCTTGACAAGAGTGCCCCACGCCAGAACTTCGCGAACTATTGCAAGGAAACTACTAACAGGAATACAGGCTTTAAGCCGACCACTAGAATGCCAGCCCCCAACTCAGCAAAGTTCTTCGTTGCCTGTAGTTCCTGAATATTATGTAAAGTCACGTTGTTGTTGGTTGATCAACTATGCTGTATGCAAGGTCGCCTACAGTAACATGGCTGAAGTACAACATTACAAACGTGGAGAAAATAGCTCGTTCTAACACCATCACCTCCCTCTCCAAAACCAAAAGTAACTCCTAGACATTGAAGACCATTTCAGTATTAAACTCAATCTCTTTTGAACGTACCGTTTCGCAGGAAGGAGTTTTTTTCCAAGTTGTAGGGCTGAAGAAGCTTTCTTAGAATTTTCTCCTTGTTGGACTACTGCATCAATTTCAGAGATAAAGATACTGTATCTAAGCTACTTCAGATAGCCCGTACCAGCCAATCCAAAAACTGGTAATGTCATCACAGATGATCTATGTATGGGATTTAGACACATGTTTAGAATTGTGTAGATATGAATGGATGTTTGGAAACTATGCATCATTCTCGCATCCTGCCGAGTCGCTATCGCCATGTTGAAACTCTGTATGTACTACATAGCAATCTTGGGTGACCGCTTGCAGTATCCTCGGTGCGTGTAATGTAGCTGCACACGACGCAACGTGACACCTGTCGGGCGGATTCAGCATACGTCAAGAATGAGTGATTGAGTTGATGCTTCGAAGTGGTCGCGTTCTGGTAACAGCAGTTTATTCTCATCAATAGTCTTGGAATCGCGATCCGCTGGGGCTGCATCTGCCAAGACATGCATTGTAGCCAGAAGGGAAAGGTTAGCCTTTAGCGATAAGTACTGTACTAGCGCTCGCCAGTCAATACCCTTAATTGCGAGAGAGCCATCTCTGGACGGCTGTTATCTCCCATGCCTATATCGACCCACTTTTATCACTGCGGGGATGGGTATAAAAGGCATAATGGCAAGCGTTGAAATACATGACCGACATTCGCTGGTACTATGGCTGCCCGCTCCATTCAGCTAATCGCATTGCTTGCAGCGAGCTCTGTGACAGCCGCTCCTACCATCGAGAGGAACCCGTACAACTTTGTTTTGAGCGATCCCGTCGGCCATACCATCTTCAATCTCGGGCATATTTCGTACCTGGCAGATACAAAGCATCCAAAAGCAATTGCGCGCTGTGCTGCAATCACATCTGACCAATCGACTTCGATCCCGATTGCCTTGATCAAGACGAATGCGACGCTCATCACTAAGGATACATTGGAAACCATCGTCTCCACGTACCTCGAAGGCGATGATGTATTCAACCATGACTTCCTAGATGGGTTGTACATTTCATCGCGGGTGCAGTCGTCCCTTGACGCCTCTGCTGTTGAATACATTTCTTCTTTCAACAACACCTGGCTCTTCCTGGATCCCTTGGTGACTGCAAACACGACGATCAACAAAGTAGCGCTGGAATCTTCAGCCGACCTGCCAGTAGGACCTTACCTCGTCTCTGTTGACGGGAGCTCGATAAGCTTTGCCACCGTTTATCGCTTATACCCCGATACGTACAAGACGTTTTTGTTCGGGGCATATAGCGCCAATGACGGTGAAGACACACACTATCCTGTTGGCATGTTCTCACCCAAATTCCAAGATCCATTGATACCGTCAGTTGTCCAGTGCTTATTCGTGTCGTGATTGAACGCAAATTTTTTTACTAAAAGCTTTCCACAGTGTTCCCTCCAGGATCTATTCATGGGACGACCCTCGTCCCCTGGCTGGGTCCCGCGTAGCCATTAAAGATCTCTACGACATCAAAGGACTGCAAACAAGTGCGGGCAGCCATTCATGGACGGTCATTACACCTGTAGCGAACGACACCGCACCTTCAGTGCAACAGATTCTCAATCTAGGGGGCGTGGTGGTTGGAAAGCAGAAACTAGCTCAATTTGCGTCTGGGGCGAATCCGTGGGAGTGGCAGGACGAGCAGTATCCGTTCAACCCTAGAGGCGATGGATGGCTGACTTGCTCGGCTTCTTCGTCTGGAGGCGGGTGCGCGGTCGCAGCGTATGAATGGTTGGATTATGCTGTGGGCAGTGATACAGGATCTTCTATGCGAAGACCAGCCGCAGTGGCTGGTGTGTATGGGTATGTTTTTTATACCCCGATATCACACTTTGATTTTGTCTTGTTATCGAAACTAAAAGGCACACAACAGTCAACGTCCAAGCCAGGGTCTCATGTCCCTCGAACGCGTTATTCCTCTTGGCGCTGCAACGGACACGGCAGGTGTCTTCAGTCGCGATCCTCACAAATGGGTCAAGTTTGCTAAAGCATGGTATGCTCCTCATTTGTACCAAGATACATCCATTACTGGTCTCTCACCCCTCGTTGTGCCGGACACGGACGCATTTCCCAAAACAATCATCTATCCCACCGACTACCTGCCGCTGAACAACTCGGCCGCCGAACCGATCCTGGAAAAGTTTATCGAAGAAATGGCACGCGTGTTCGATATGCGTGTCAAAAAGGTAAACTTTACTGCTATTGTCCAAAATGCTACGGATCCGATTGCGAGTAATTTTACCGTCATGAACCAAGCAACAAGCACAATCAACACATGGAGCTCATGGCTGGTTGTCGGCAAGCCCTTAATTACAGCCTGGAAAGACATGTTCGAGGGCCGTTTCCCACCAATTGATCCTGCACGGCGACCCGGATGGATAGGGTTCAACGAGAGGGCGACGAACCAAGCGAGCTATGATGCAGCTCTCGAGACTAAGAGGCAGGCAGTGGCGTGGTACGAGGACGAGTTCCAGTATAGCACAGCCGAGTCATGCTCCGAGTCGGTCATGCTGTATGATATCGGTACGGGTGGACTGCCTTCGTTCCGCGAGCGCTTGCTTAACGAGTCGCCGGATGCATCCTATCTGGCTGTTCGGCCCGAGGGCGCTGCCGTGACGGGAGCGAGTATCTGCCCCATTTTTGGGTGTGCGGATTTCACGGTTCCTATTGGACAGGTACCATACCAGAGCAATGTCACGTTTCATGAAGAGATGGTGCCTGTCACGATTAACATGGTAGTGAAGAGGGGCTGTGATTTTGTTCTGTACAATATGATTGAGAAGATGGCTGACGAGGGGATACTGAAGACGGTCAAGACGGGAAGGACGGCGTATTGACAAATTGGGTCGATCTATCACTATGTTGGGGTGCAAGAAAGCAACAGAAGCAAATGTGTGCTCAAGGCCAGTCACTTATCTTGGCAAAGTGGTCATCTACCGAACCATGCAACGTTGCTCTTGATAGTGTTTTAGTGGACGAACAAGACGGCACCAATAATAGCTGAGAGGAGCAGTACCTGGCGATGCCAAATTGCGTTATTGTGAGCCTGGCGTGGCCCGGCAACTCTTTGCTATAAGAGAGCGGTCAATGCATCATTCTATCTGACGAAGAGCTACCACAACGCCATGTGTAGAAGCAAACAAGATAGTGTCAGATGTCTATAATAACCCCCGAAACTTTTAAAAATCCCGTGTTGATGCAATATTAGAGAAAGGGGATGAAATGGAGAGGATAAAGAGAAGGTGCAGCAGAGGAGCAAATCTATGTTCGGTGCATGGTACATCGGTCGAGGGCGTCGAGCAGTTCCGGGCGTTCGGCCAAGGCCTGTCGGGCCTGACTATAACTGAACCAATTCCGATTCCGCTTGTGCTGCTCGGGCCATTGAGCTTCCTGCTTCTCGACCGTGGCTTCAAAGAAATGGTACGAGGCCTTTGGGGCCTGCGAGGTGAGCTGGTCGGGCCTGCGCTTCTCGGGGATGAGGCCGAGGTCGTAGTTGATTTTGCATATTATACCCGCCTCTTCCCAGGCCTCACGTTTGGCAGCGTCTTGGGCAGTTGCCTCGTCCGTTTCCCAGCCACCTTTGGGGAGGACCCAGCCGTTGCGTTTGGTCGACTGAATCAGCAGGACGTAGTACTTGTCGGCGGAGAGCGGCACCACGCCGGCGACTAGGCGCTCGCCTTGGGAGCCGTAGCCTAGGGCCAATCAGCCAGCTGCAGACAGAGGGAAGCGGCAAAAGACAGGCAAGTTTGGATGGGGGTGTGTGAGGGCAAGCGCGTGTGGGGTCTCGTGAGCAGACTTACGCTGGTTGAGACGTCCTGTGCGTGACTGCATCGACAGCTGTTGGGTAGCGGCCATGTCGCGACAGCTGGAGGGACAATGCAGAGGGAGAGAGAGCGAGAGCGAGAGCGGCGAGTGGCAGGGCGTGGATGCGACTCACTCAGACGCGACGAGAGCGCACGACGGGTTGGAGGAGCGCCGTGGAAGGAGCAGAGGGTCGCCAGGCGGTGTGAAATGAAGCCGAGCAAGCAGCGAGCGTGGCGGGCGGCGGGACGGGGAGCGGATGGGGGGATCAAGCTTGGTCAAAAAGGGGGGGGAGGTGGGAAGGCGAATGGCAGTGGTAGTCTTGTGGGCTGTGTGGGCTGAGCGAGGCTCAGTCCCGCGGGTGACGGGGCTGAGGAAGGTGAAGGAGCCTGCGGGCAGCAGAGAGGGACGGCATGGTGGATGGGGATGTTTTAGTAGGTGGTTCGGGTCAGGGACTTTTTTGCGTGCGAAACTAAGGACTGGCGGAAGCGTCACGGCTGTTGCCAAGGCCGGGCCTGCAGGCCTGCAGGAGAGCAGAGAGCTTGGTCCGGGGGCGGCCCTGGTGCGTGCAGCTGTCGCCAGCCCACAAGAGGACAGATGGGCGCATGGGGGCAGACGAGTAGACGGGTAGACGAGTAGACGAACAGCCAGACAGAGAGACGGATAATAAGCCAGGTGGTAGTAATAGTGTACTATGTGTGGGTGTAGTAGTGCTACACACACACACACACACAAAAGCCAGGCAGAATGGGTGAGTGCACCGCCATGACGTACGTGCCTCGCCCGCCGTTTTGGCTGCCTGCGGGCGATGCCCACTAGAAGACGCCAGACGGGCCTCGTGTATGTGTAGCACGTACTGACAGCGCCGCTGTGCTAGTTATCATAATACATCCATTCATACATACAAGCTAGGTAAACATCCATACATCCATACATACATGTGCACACAAACAATATCCCACACATACATACACTTACTCTCTCCCTCTCACTCTCCTCTCCCTGTTCCCTTTTTTTTCTCCTCAACCCTGCGCCGCCACTGCCCCCATCCTCCTCCACTGGCACCACCCCCACCGCCGACCACGACGCTTATGCTGCCCTCATGCAGTCGAGCGCAACGCCCGCCGGTATGTCGTGCTCCAACCACTCTACTGCCCTCCGCCCCGTGCCTGTCTGGCTGGTTCCTGGGCCTCGCCCGCCCTCGCGCCGCCGCTCCGCTCCCTGTCTCCTCCTCCCTCGCTCTCATCCACACAACCCACTAATCGTCGGTGTGCAGGCTACCGCAGCAGCGATGAGTGTGGATACTGCAAAGACCACGCCAATTCTCGTGCGTCCTGTCCTTCCCTCCCCCACTCCATCCCGTGTCCATAGTCGTCGCCTGCACTTGATGTCCCGTTAAGGTTGCACAGCTGCACGTGCAGGCCCCCCGCACTGCAAGCAATTCTGCTCCCTTAGTTGGACATTTCCCCCCTGCCCAGCCCATCTCCCTCGCCCTACTACGCGTACTACTGTCTATATACCGACGTACAGTACACACAATCCATAGCCACGCCAAGTGCATCCACCTTTTGCACTCGGCCTGACCACATTTCTGCTCTTGCCCCCATCTGCCCCTCCTCTTAACCCCCCCCCCGGCCTGTAACCACGGCCACGGGCCATCCCAGCACCGAGCGGGAGAAGCCGGGATGAGTTTCCACCCCCAACTAACGCAGCCAATCAGGAGCCAGCTTCTACTTTCTCTCCAAACGCTTGACCGTTGAAGTCTACCAGCTGCTGGTCGACCGCGGCTGGAGGAGGTGACAGCCCACCACTATGCCCTAAGTACAACAGCTGTTGACACACCCTTGTAGATCCGGCACTCTCTTCTACAAGCCAGACGTCCTGCGGCACTGCTGCCCCCATTACACAATTCGGTAAGCATTCGTCCTGTCCACAAGCCCAACACTGCTGACCCTACACAAGTCTGCCCGTTGCCTCATTCAAGCCTTCTAAAGACCAGCGGAAAGCGGTCAATCATTGGAACGACCATGTGCTAGGCGAGTCATATATCAAAGAGGCTTCTAGGCTCTACCCGCTGTCCAAACAGTCGGTGCACTCCACATGGCCCATCCCGCACCTAGGCTAATGATGGGCAGAGAAAAGGCTCGGCTAAAGAACACGTTTGACCTTGTCCGAGAGGTGCACAGGGCAGAGCTGCAAAATGTCAAACAACCGCCTGAACCCGCCCATCGCTTCGAGGTGACACTTGAACCGGCAGTCTTCACGGCCGAGAAGTATGACTTGTTCAAGAACTACCAACAAACTGTGCACAAGGAACCCCTCAACCAGATATCACAATCAGGCTTCAGGAGGTTCCTCTGCGACTCTCCACTACAGCAAACCTCACGCACTATCAATGGCAAAGAACAGCTCTTGGGCTCCTTCCATCAGTGCTACCGCCTCGATGGCCGACTGATTGCAATGGGCGTACTGGACCTGCTTCCCCATTGTGTCAGTGGTGTGTACATGCTCTATCATTCCGACTTTGCAGAATGGCAGTTTGGCAAACTGAGTGCCCTACGCGAAGCCGCCCTTGCACTTGAGGGCGGCTACGAGTACTACTACATGGGCTACTACATTCACACATGCACCAAGATGAAGTACAAAGGCGACTACAAGCCACAGCACGTTCTCGATCCAGAGTCGTATGAGTGGCATCCGTTGGATGGTGAACTGCGTAGCCTGCTCGACAAGAAAAAGTACGTGTCCATGGCGAGGGAGCGGCGGAGACAAAAGGAACAAGCGTCTGGGGCAAAGCAGACGGACGGCGCCGACGCTGCAGAACAAGACGACTATTCGGACTATCCCTTAATCTCGCCTACCAAGGCCGCAGACGCATGGATGAACGGAATGTCGCTTTTCGATCTCAAGATGCCAGGGGTGATGACGGCCGAAGAGATTGAAGAGAAGATTGATCTGGCTACAATGCCGTTTCGCGCGGGTAACAGACTGGTGGAGCTTCAGGTATGTCACATATGATGGGCAATGGTTGAATAGCTGGCGCTGACCAACTTGCAGGATCTTGTATCATGGGACAGTAGTGATTTGCGGGATCCTCATTCGATTCGAGGCATGGTTGGTGAGATGGTGGCTTGCATGGGCCCCGAAGTTGCGTGGCAGATTGTGGTCCAGCTGCGGGAGTAGGGAAAAAGAGAGAGACAGGGCATGAACTGTGACAGGATGAAGTGTTGGCATGAGACCTTCCTGTCAACGCCATGTGAGGTCTCGTCCGCTATTTTTCTCCAACTGTCAGCAAGCAGTCACATGCTCAACGGCAACAGTGAGGTTCAAAGACAAATTTATCGTTCAGGAAGAGCCTCGATATGTAATATTGTCAGTTCAGTATTCTAGGATTATTTGTGTTAGCCAAATGGCTGGTTTTCCTTGACTCGTGGTTGAGCGTGTGGTAGTCAATGCTTGCTCGCTATGCTCCTGGCCGCCTAGCTTCCCCGGTGGGCCGAGGCACCTCAACCTAAACAGATAGTCAAAAGTCCCACCCCCGACACAAACACCTGCCTCTGCACATCACAATGTCCGCATCACCGCTCACAATTGTTGTGCGCCCCCGAGGTAAGGACAATTCTATGCAGCAGCCCAATGCTCCTTCTCTCTGCTGTTCCCCGCTTTTCCAATAGCAGCCAGATTAACCCCTCGCTAGGCCGCCCGATCAAAAACCTTCCTGAGACGATTACCGTCAGCGCCGATGCCTCAACCTCTCAGATCTTTGAGGAAATCGCCAAAGCCTCGCGCTTCTCGATCCACCGCCTCCGGGTTACAAAGGGCAGCGATGGGTCCCCAATACCAAACACCAAGGATGTCAGGGTGCACGACACCGGCTTGAGGAACAAGAGTGCCGTCGACGTCAAGGACTTAGGTACGCAACGCACTTTGTCACAACATGTTCATGGCTTACCTTATTTCAGGGCCACAGATATCATGGCGAACTGTCTTCATCGTCGAATACCTCGGTCCCCTCCTCATCCATCCGCTCATCTACTTTGGCCGCCCTCTGATCTACGGCACCTCTGCACCCCCGTCCCAGCTCCAGACACTCACCCTGGCCATGTGCGTCTTGCACTTTGCCAAGCGCGAGTTTGAGACGCTCTTTGTGCACCGCTTCTCGTCGGCTACCATGCCGGCCATGAACATTGTGAAGAACAGCGGCCACTACTGGCTTCTTTCTGGCTTGAACCTGGCTTATTGGAGTTATGGTCCAAACAGCCCGGCAGCGGGACGCCCGAATCCTCTCCTCACATACCTGGGCGTCGCCTTGTTTGCCATTGGCGAAGTGTGCAACTACAGTACACACGTCACGCTGAAGAACTTGCGTCGTCCAGGCAGTACCGAACGCGGCATCCCTCAGGGCTTGGGCTTCAACTTGGTAACATGTCCCAACTACATGTTTGAGTCGATGGCGTGGCTCGGCGTGGCCCTAATCAACCGCAGCCTCGCCACGGTGCTCTTCATCGTCATTGCTGTTGGGCAGATGGGTGTGTGGGCGTGGAAGAAGGAGAAGAGGTATCGCAAGGAATTTGGCGACAAGTACAAGCGCAAGAGGTACGCCATTCTGCCAGGCATCTGGTAAATGGCTTGCATCACGCGACCTCCGATAGTCAGAGGTGGTGGCCCAATCATAGCTGATGCCAATACTTTTTGCAAACATGGTTACACAGCATATGTACTCATGGGCTTGTGTGTGGAAACGCAGAATGCATCGTTGATTAGGCTGCTTACACGGTGGATCCTGAGCCAAGCGGGAGGGCCGACGATACAGGGGGGTTGTTTTCCTGCTGGTTCCAGCTGGATGCTTGCATCTGGGCGTCCAGAGCCCCCATGGCCAAGGCCGATGCATAATCTCATGGACGATTTTAGTAGTTTGGGCTTCTGCATTTTCTAATAGTAGTGGTGGAAGTAGTAAGGTAATCGTTAGATCCATAATCACTGAGCGAGAAATAGTCTTAAAGCCCCATCCCTTCAATCTGGTTCACAACAAAAGACGGCTTGTCTCGTGTAATAGTTTACCTTGATGAAAGGCTTACTCATAGTTTAGTTTGATTGGCGTGTAAAGCATCGCTGTGGCCAAGAAGGCTTTTGTGGTTGAGCCCGTGTTTGGCTAT